TGAAGTATCTAAAAAGATACATAACATTTTCCTTCCACTAGAGAGTTGCAAACATCGAAAATTCAATGAAAGTAAGTTGCAGTTAAATGAATGTCTAGCGACAATCTTGGTCTAGATGGTGGCCTATTCTAATCACATGGCTAAAAAATGACAACCAACTTTTTCATAAGAAACACGCAATAAGAAACGAGCGGTTGCCATTCCGGAAAAATATGAGCTTCAGTGAGAGTCAGTGGCGACTTTAATGGGGTTCAGGGGGCCACAGCTCTATACCCCTGGCTTATGGTAGCCAAAAGGGGGCCTCGCATCTAGAAAAGAGGGATAAAATATGGAATAAGACCCCGCAGATATTTTGGCATCGGGCCCCGCATTCTCAAGAACAGCCACTGAATGGAGTACTCGATGACGACCTGTTTTTCTAATGAAAAAATGAGTATTGCCCTGGCAGATCTGAGCAACAGCTGTGTATGACTGTTGCGCTTGGCTAATTCTTAAATGTAGCCCTTCAAGGCAGGCTTCCCTTACAGCCCTTTGAGCAGGTGAATCGAACAGTTATTAATCCTTAAGATCTTGTTTTGTTTTCACTTGAGACGATGACCAGTAACCGTTAAGAGAAGTATAATCATATTGCTTTACAAATAATATGGATCACCTGCTTGTATTGATTTTGAAACAGGCCAATGAAATTCGCTACTTGAAAAGAGGCTGCTTGAAATATACGAGAACGAGGGAACTGGTGACTTATGGACTGACGTGTTGTTGGCCTCTGGTGACTTGTCCCATTTGAACTTTTTATTCATGCTAAAAAAGAGGCAGCAAGCAAGGGAGTTGAGGTTGACAGTTCGGTACAAATGGCATTATCTTGCCGAAAATATTTTCTATTTATTGACGAGTCAGAAGTTATATCCCGAAAAATCTTTGTTTGTAAGAAAGTCTGAGAATACATTCCTAAAAATTTTATACCACGTTCTTTTTGCTGTCAGAAAACGCATTGCAACAGGGAAAAGAATTTCCACAAGGAAATGAACATGGCTAACTTTGGTTGAATAAAATCAGCTCTAAAATAAAATCATAGAGTTACTTCATGAAGAGCACGTTGCTGAAAATTATTACCCCTCCTCCAACATTTTTCATCAAATCTAGACGAAATAGAAGATTAATCCTGCTAGAAACTGGTGGGGACATGCCTTCCCTCTGTAGCAGCCCCCCCCCTCCATTGTGCCGCAATTGTCAGCTTGTTGCCTTACAATTATAACTCAAGCAAAGCCAGATGAAGCTTTGTGTTCAAGAACAGTAGCCTGAGATGCGTCTCTGGTATCGCATAGCGTTTAAGGTTCATAACTCGAAAAACATTGAGGGAATGTGCTTAAAGATGGGCAGCAAAATGGCTGGTTACGGGGAGGGGGGGTGGGGTTAGACAATTAGACAATGATAGGATAAGCCGCATTATTTCGCATGACCATCTTTCTAAGAAATATCATTTGTTCTCTTACTACCTTGTCATGGGATGGAAAGCAAAAGGTCTTTCTCCGTCAACCCCATTTTCAACCCAGATGCCATTGTATAAAATTTTGTTCATTGGAAGTAAAATGGCAACACCTAGTGCTTTCATCTCACACTATCTAGCCTGCAACTGGCTGATTTACAAACTAACAATCAAATAAGAGTTGGTGATTTTTCAGACAGTGCTATACCCATGGCTTACATGAGCGATGTAAAAAAAGGAGCGAAAAGAAGGGACAGGAACATTTTAAGGGGCTACGAACTTCAATTCCCTTAGCGACGTCCTTTCTTTTATCAATAGGTTTTTCTGAAAGGAAATGTATCTTGTACTGGCGCAGGTAGTTTACTTAAATTATGGCAATCAAGCCAAAGAGCAACCAAAACCATCTTAACGGTAAAATGTTACTAATTTATAACCCTTTAGATTCCGAGCCAAAATTTATTTCTTACAACAGAGCTTCCAATTTTTCATTTAACAGTTCTCCTCTTTAATTTAACCATCTTTCGAAATTTTACTTTCACCTATTTAGAGGGTAGTAAAAATCCTTTTTGCCTGGCATGTTAATACAATGCATAATTCTGATATGAAAAATTTATGTGCTTCTTGGGTTCAAATATTTGATGGACTCCACATTTTTGATTCACTAACGACAATGATATCTGCATCAGGCAGCTGCTCTCATCACATCATACACTGATTTTTACAAAAACACACTTTACTAGAATACTGAGACTCGATTTGCCAAAAAATAAAAACAACGTAAGAACACACACAGCTTCAAATGAAAAATTAAAAGAAGAAAAAAATGTGTTCTTGTAAATTCTCTCACGTGTTAACAAAACAGAGAAGATTTTATCAGCTGATCAACTGTGCTGCTAAAAATTTCATGCAAAATTGTTATCCACTTGTCTTATGAACAATTTATTAGATGTAAATGTAGAAAGATTAAAGAGGGAATAAGAACAACATTAAAATAACTCAAAGCCTCAAAATATCTTATAAGTGGGAACACCGAGTCGTGGGAAAAGTCTCCCGGTTTTTTAACAGAAGATTGCATCCGGCAACCTAGTTGACCACTTGGGGTGACCGCCACCACACAAACCCCCTTAACCCGCTCATAGGATTTTCCACTGCAATTGCATTGCCAGTTTGGACGAGGTGCCCCGTCACCTGATTCCATGTTCATTAAAATTATTGATGTTTATTTGAGATTAATGAATTGTGGGAGAGACGGTTTTCTAGGCATAGTAGATCCTGGAAAACGTTGGCTAAATGACTGGTATGAACAAGTCTTAGAAATACTTGGGGAGGGGCACCGTTCATTGCGGCCTCCAGAATCCGAATATGCTTATTTTAATTATATGACGTAACATGCTGCTGCCTAGATATTAATTTAAATATCTTAACAGATGTTGTTATGGTCTGAGCAAGATGATTGGCGGGATCTCTTGCTTTATCTAAAGCTGTGTGGAACCTGTTCAACTAGTTTCAAGGGTTTTGCTTGTATGTTATCGCGTGACTCTTCCGTGGCATTACGCAACAAACAATGTTTTGTGACCCCTGCACATAGGAGAGGTCAAACTTCATTTTCTTCTTACATAAATTCAAGCAACAACTCTTCGAATCACGTTTTTCAACAAACTGGTGTAGCACTTTCCTTCAAGTGAGAATGAGGATGCCCATGGGCGTAGCGGGGGCTAAACGTTTAGGAGGAGGGGGGCCTTAGTACTGGTCTTGCCCAAATATTGTTGCTTTATTGAGCCATAATTGCCAGGGTGGGCCTGTGAATCGAAAACCTTGCCTGAATAGGGGGGGGGGGCTCTGTAGCCTCCAGGGACAAGGTCTCCTACACCTATGGGGTTGCCATCACTTTAGACGATTATACTACAACCTGTGGGGATTTCGTGGCTACTCCCAAGAAAATTCGCCCTGGCATGTTATAAATTCCTTAATTTAAATTCGAAAGAAACTTTACTTGGGAAAGATGAAAGATTTAAAAGAGTAGCACTCTCTTTTTGTTAAAGAAAATGTTTATATACCTAAAGAATTTTTAGAACTAGCAAGTTTGAAATTTCAAGACGGTTTTTAAAGCATCGAGCCCTCTTATGGCAACAAGAAGAATGATACAATTTGCCTTTATAATTGTTGCCAATGTTTCTCTCGTTGAATCTAGTTGCTTCAAAAATTTAATGCTCGCACCGGCTGCATAGACCCTGTGCATTTTGCATGATTTTCACAGTATCCATGGGTATAGGAGACATCGGGGCTGTGGGGCTGTCCTCCCCTTAATTAAGCAAAATTGATCGAATTTCAAGCCCATTCGGACAATTTATCTCATTGAAGCAATTGCAATCGGGGAAAATCCATACCAAGCCCCCCCCCTAAACGTTTAGCCTCCGCTACGCCCATGACAGCGTCACCTTTGCTTGTTTGGCCGTGTGCAACCACCCCTTATGTAGTAACAATATCTTCCCTTGTCCCCTACAAAAGAGAAAATAGGATAATTTAAACAATGCTGTCATATTGTGGTAGATAAAGGGAAGAAGACTCTCGATCATATTTGTTTGCGAGCAGTGTGGTCAAACGAAGGGGTGGCATAGTGGTTAATCAGGGAAGCCTTCGGAATTATCAAAGAGGAAACAATTTATAAATAATGCCATCAAAAGTTTTCGTTTTCAGCCAAAATTTTTTGCTCATGCTGGACGTTCTAATCAATGATGTCATTTCAAAGCTGAAAAGCTCTTACTTCACTGCCTCCCTCCTTTGACCTTTCTTACGAGCATCTCTACGACAGAAAACTGTTAGGGGGTTTTCCCTTTACCGCTAAATGAATTATATAACAATGGTTAGTATATCAGGCATATAAATGCTTCTAATCGATGTACCCCGTGAAAGTAAGCGCTGCTGCGTGCAACCTGCTGCCAAATTCAACAATCCCATTCCGTGATTGCCACATTCGATTGCGTGCTTGCGTGATCAATAACTTTCAAAACATTGTCAGTTTAGTTTCTTCGAACATTAAAAAGTGCCTTTCGCAGGTTGCTCTCACCTTTGGTAGGTTGCTAAAATTATTTTTCATTTAAGTTGGATACACAGTTTGTGGTCTGTTCATAGAGTCAGGTAGAAGACACGGTACCACAGTTCAGTTGGTCGTCCATATATGGATGGGCAGGTCAGGCATGATGGTGACCCTTATTCAAGCTAAGGTTCTATGAACAATGCCCTATTTGCATACGATTTGTGTTTCACTCATCCTGTCAGAAATTCAACTATCTGCTCGAAGGACACTTGTTAAAATGGAGGCTCACCGCTGACTTATTCACCCGGCCCAAGGTTAGAGTACAATATTACCAAATAGTTAGGCGGTAAACATGAGAGCTTTGCAACAAGTTACTACGTACGACCAAGCAGAAATATTTGATAGACTAACAAGTTGCTTTTTATGTTTTCATTGAAGCTAGACCATAACAGTTTCGTTTTTAATTGTATGTTTTAGAATCACTGGAGGCCTAATAATTACGATCGCGAAGCAAGCAATCCAAGGGGAAGTCTCTGTAAGTTTTTTCAAACTTATTTAGTATTATTTAAACATCTTCTTATATTTTAAACAGTATTTTAGCGAAAAACAAAGTCCAGCGCGTACGATCTTTTGTTCGATTTCCAGTACCAGAAGCGCGTGGCTTTTACATGCTTTTGACTCGACTGCAACAGTAACTTTTGAAGCCTTCATATTGTTTTTCATCTATTTATCGAAGTGTAATTGTAAGTATCTCCAGATATTAAATAAAATATAAGTACGATTGAAATTTTTTGAAAATGGGACGTTAAGAATGACCGTCTAACCAAATGTTATTTTTCAACAATTCTTTTATCTTTGGCCTAGGCGTGGAGGTCGGGATGGAGGAAGCTGTACAGATTCTGGTCTCAAACAGTAATCGGTTCGCTGCCGACTTAGGTTTAAGGCCAACAGCAGACCAAAAAGTTTTAAAAAAGCCATCTGAATCTACACCAGAGCCTAGCGCCCTTCCTATGTGTGAAATATGCGGGGACAAATCGACGGGCAGACACTACAAAGTATTTTCTTGCGAAGGTTGCAAGAACTTTTTCCGGCGAACTGTTCGAAGGGGTTGCAAGTACAAATGTCCGGCATATGGTCAATGCGATGTTGATAAAAACCAAAGGACGCGATGCAGAGCTTGTCGAATGAAGAAATGCATTAAAGTTGGCATGAAAAGAGAAGGTTTGTAAGTTTTAACAGTTTTTCGCAACGCATTTATGTTGCAGTAAATTTTTTGTGGTTAGATCGTGCGGGTCATAACACAAGGCAGATTATTTAAGAGGCCAAAGTTACGGATCTCCAAATGTTATGCAATTTATATCTTTGTCTGTTTGAAATTTTCATAACAATAAAGCAGGTTTTATTTTTAACTCTCTGCTGTATAGAATAAATTCAAATATGTTTCTTACGTTTTTTAGTTGAGCTGTTTTGCGAAAACTTGCTTAAAACAAATCGAACCCTTCATGTTCACAAACAAAACTTGCATGGATGGCAAATAATTGGTTAGCTTCAATGCTTGACTAGAAAGGAATATATAAATATCAGTTCAATTGTAGTTTCTTGCATCATTTTTGAGCCTGAGATGATGAAATAGTTCAATTCTTGAAGGGAAATGTGTTAAAAATATTGTCGTAAATAGAGGGGTCTAGATACGACACTAATTTGCTCATTATTTTTATCAAAACAATTTCCATCGATGGTAATTCTTCTGCAACTTTTTCATGTATTTTTCATTTGCCAATTTCTAGAAGTCTTTTTCGCTTTTAGTGGTAGTTTTAAGACAGTTCAGATAGTTACAACACAGGCTGATTGACTGAATCGTTTTATTGTTTACTTGCTCTTTCTGTTTCCTTTCACAAGGAAAGTACCCTCTGACACTAAATATCACCTTATAAATAATGATCTTTGAGACAGGGACAAAATTTCAAAAGGTTAAAAGTCTTTAATTTTACGTTAATTGCAGAAAATATAAACAGAACTTTCAGAAACGACATTACTCGCCCATGTAAAATCATAAACTTATTTTAAAAATTAATTATTTTAGTGGGATTGGTCTTACACGTGTCCAAAATTCTCTCTCCCGGAAAATGTTTTCGATCAGTAGATTTTGCAGTCAAAATTTCTTTTCACTCCAACACGTTGAATGTTCCCCAAAGAGTTCGCTTCGAATGTATTTATCTGATTTTGTTAGATCTTTTCCTTCTAATATTTTAATCTTCACTGAAGGGAATGTTTTTTGAAAGTTCCTCAAATTGATATTTTGAAAGCAGCAAATAAGAGTGAGGCAGTGACTGTCAACTTTTGCTGAATGAAAATCTCTAATCAAATAGCGTTAAGAACCTGCGTTTAGGCCATTAGGGCGCCAGTTCCAGCCAACTCGAAGTGTCTAGCAGCAAAGGAAGGATTAAGCAATTTGCATACCTATTCCAACCTCCTAGAAATCTCATAAGATTCTGGATCAAATAGTTGAATCTAAAGACAGTCTGCTTGGCTGCAAGTCATACCGAAATTTTTGTAAGTTAAGGGATAAACAAGTTTTTATAATTTTAACAGAGTTTTAACAAGGAAAAGACATGTTTTTATCTAGTAGATAGCTTCTTAGATCTAGAAAAATTCCTGCCATCTTTCCTTAAGTGGATGTATTTCAAGACGGCACCCCAGAACGAGTCAGGAACAAAGATTCTAAAACCACTGATTGTTGGTTTTGAACACCAAATATAATTATCTTTACATTTTGGACATTACGAAATTAATTACTAGTCCTTGCGTAAAATTTGCACAAACAAATTTGAGCCGTTATAACTAAATTTTATGAAGATCCAAGGACATCAGATTCATATTCAAGGCAACTTGCAAAAGTTTACTATTCAAAAACCTAACCGAAAAATCTAAACATATATTTTCACGTAACTTTTCTACTAAAGCTTTGAGATAGAGCAACAGGAAAACAGCTTTATCATGAGCAACGAGGGGTTAAGTAATGACGAGATGCAACTTTCAAACCATGAAAATTTCTCAAATTGAAAAATTCTTCCAAATGTGCTTCTTGTGCTGAGAAAACGCTTTCCTAAATACTAAATAATAGAAGCTTCAACTAAATCTTTATGTTAAAATCTCAGTATAGTCATATTTAGAATAATTCAAAGAATTTAGGGGAACTGAAAAGAAGATTAAGACCTCGAAATTACCCAATGGCTTTTGCGATTTATGTAGGAAATTTTTGTTGAATGTTGCCCACAAAATTCTATTCTATATCTTATGACGTTTGTGGTTATTTTCCAGTTCAAACCTAATTTATTTTTTACATCATAACAGTTTGTTGCTCTGTTCTTTATTACGTTGAGTCTTTTAATTGTTTTAAGCCATTCGTATGCAAAGATATTGTTGTGCCAACTATGAAAAAAAAGACGAGTTAGATTTCTCATCCTTACGTCACGATGAGAAGCTTGGTTCCAGTCTCCTTAAAGAGGCTCTAGATAAATGATTCTAACCTTTGTTTCTGTAGAACAAATATATTTGAATGCATGCATTTTGACGAATGCAAGAGGCACTTGTTACTTTTAGAAAGTGGCGTTTTTATGTGAAAGGCCGAAATCTAGAACATTGCATGCAAAAAATTACATTTTGATTTTTTAAAAATGGCAGAATTTATAAATTCATTTTGTGACGGGCGAATTCTGTTTTGGAGAGTAGGTCTGAAATATTGGCACACTGAAATATATATTAGTTTCATGAGATTGTAAACCTTTGACTGCAAATAAAATTTATTATAATACTTGCTGCCTCGAATCAACTCTTGTTTATTACATCTTGAAATGTTATAATTGCGAATAAACCTTGAGAGTTAAATATTCATACATATTTTAAAATTACGTTTATCTAAAATGTTCAGTGTTTTTTAAACACCATGGATTATTTTTCTCTATTGACGGAAGGATACGCAAAAAATTCTCGGTAATGTAGTATGAACGACTATAGGTGTATGATACAAAGGGGCTGGGGGACTAGAGCTCTACCTTTCCAAGCAACATTTATTGCATTTCAGGCCCCACTCAGGCAGCTCTATCTCAATGAAGCAATAACATTCAGGCAAGATCCATGCTTAGCCCATATAAAGCCGATTTCCATTTGACATTTTTTGTGCACGCGGGCGTAGCACCCAAATCTGAGCATGCGTAGTTAAAATCAAGTGGTCTCGATTTTGCGTCGCTGTGAGCGCCAGAAAGTTGATAGGGTCTCAACTTTTTTGTACGCTCGGCCACTTGACAGCAGCACTTAGCTACGCATGATCAGATTCGGGCGCTACGCCCGCGCGCACAAAAAATGTCAAATGGAAATCGGCCTTTAAATGTTTTGCATCCGCTACGCCCATGTCAAAGAGTTAAAAAAGAAGGTGCTAATTGCGTTTAGAAATTAAATTGAAAAGTATTCCCTTCATGTTTTTTGGCCATGATACCAGCAAACTTATCAGGACTCGTATTTGTTATTAATACGAGTAGATACACAAAATAAAACCTTTTAGGCCAAATTTGGCTTGACCGAAGCTCCGTTTCTTAACTAAATGACAAAAATTACCCACGACAATTTTAGCATGACCTTTTTAAGTCGTATAGGGCCAGAGAAACTCATGGTCCATGCAATTTGAGAGTAATTCAGAGTCGATTAACAAAGAGCCTCTCTGCGGTCAGATCAGTTGTAAATTAGGCATACAAAACCAACTCTATTTAATAATCATAATCTCCGATCAAGAAGGCTGTTTTTACTGGCGTTGCAAACCTCAGGATGAGGAAGAATGAAAATCAGCCATCCGAAGTGGCTGAAACGCGGGTTGGACTCCTAAGACTGGGTTCTAACAATGTCACGTGAGATCCCCATAGATGTGATCCTATAAACATATGGGTTTAATTTAACCTCTTGAATATAAATTACTCATATTGCATTACATACACTTGTTTGTAGAATCTTAAACTTAATCGTTATAATGAAATCATCCTTCCGGATAATAGTCGCTGCTTGAGATAATTACAAAGGAGCCACATTTGGAAACATGTTTATGTCTTACGCTAATCTTTCAGGAAACTTTTGAGTTAATTTATGTGCCACAACAAAAAGGTTATCAGTTTACATTCTTGTGTCAGTTTTTACGTGTGTAATTGACACTGTATCCCTACTTGTTCAAGAAATCACCCTCCTTATGTTATCAGAAATTCTCATTACGTAATCGCTTTCCTCATCGCCTATTTATTCGACTTTCCCTTTAGCTGTTCAGTGTGAGAGAAAGCCGCTTGTATTAACCAACGGAGATTTTAAACGAGACGCCAACGGAGATTTTAAGCGAGATGAATACAGCAATGGCGACAGCGGGGATGAAGGTTCTGTTTCAGAAAGCACTTCTCAATCAGAGGAAAGGAAACTTACTCCGGATTCTGTCAAAGAAGCGATAGGGCACAGTCGTGGTACAGAAAATGGTACCAGCGAAAATGATGATTCGCAAAAGAACCACGAAGCAGGCCCAATTCGTCCCCAGGTGACACATGCTTTTGAGGCATACAACAGAGGATACGTGGCTGATAGTATTCTTGCAGGGGTTTTCCCCTTTGCTGTTGACCCCCCAAGCATTGCAGTTACTGAACCCGGGTATCTATACGAGCTATCAACCAGGATGCTGTTTGCAAGTGTTGACTGGGTCAAAGGCCTTACCTGCTTCAGCCGCCTCTGTGAAGAAGATAAAATTCGCCTGCTGGTAGAAAAGTGGTACCTACTTTTCGCCTTGGGACTTTTGCAGTGTTCACATATGTTCCCTGTGTGCACCTTGCTTACGATGGCTGGAACGGAGTTGAGTAGATCACGGTCTGCCAGCTCTCCTTCGCTGCGGTGGCAGACATTCTTGAAGATAAAAGGAGTAATAATGAATGGTGGAATGCTTGGAAGAGTTTCCAAAGAAATTCATGAATATATGAAGATTGTAACGCTTTTTGATCAAGGTCAATCTCCATTTTTCAATCCCTGACACTTTTAATCTCTGAAGCTAATAAATGAGCCGGGCTCTTCCTTTCCCAACGCTAAAGCGAGCTGTAAAACTGATCACACTAAATTTCAGCAAAGTATTTTTATAAAAATCGTCAGACTAAGATCCTATTTAATGACATTGAGAAAATAAATACTACAGTTTAAGAAAAAATATGTTTTTTCGGTAATGTAATGATACAGTTTGATGTCTACTTAGATTTTAGACTCCATGTACATAATTGCTGAGGAAGACCCATATCACTAATTTTTATTTGATGAGATTTACATTTTCTTGTCGGTAGCAGATGGGAAACATATATTTTTAGGCACTGTTACCTATGGGTCATATATGATTTTTATATTGTCTTATATCTTCCTTTGCCTTTGCTTCTGTTGGATTAACTCAATTGACACAGAATCCTCTTGCAGGCGTGCCCGGATTGATAGAAGTTGAAACAATCTACGAAACAAGGAAAGGTGCCCAAATTGCATTAGAAGCGGCGTTGGCAGATTCTGCGTATAATGAGAGGGACATCAGTCTGCGAGAGAAGATTGTCTATGCCTTGGAAAGCATCAACAAGATCAACAAAGAGGAGATTAGAGAGGCATTTTTCGCACTCCTACTCAAAGAAACATCCGTAGAATTCATCTTAAGAAGTCTATTGCGAGAATAAGTCGGGGAAAAGTGGCGTAATATGTTACAGCTGACAATCGTGTAACGAGCAGCAAACTTTAGAAGACTTCGCAGCTGCCGTTTAGGGAAAGGTCAAGAGAGCATTGTCTAAAGGAAGATCCTTTTGTCAGTCTAGAACTATGAGCAAATCACTTGCTACTCGTAGGGCTAGACATTTAGTTATGGAACTACTCGCTAACCACTAGTCTTAGGATTATACGTTTAATTTGAGGATCAGGTAGCCCTTCCCTTTTTCATTTCTTTTCCATTTCAATTTCATCAACATTTTATTTTAATTTTATGATTAATTTTATATTTTGAAAGTTTTGCTCTTGTTCCACGACAGATTTTTAACTCGCTGACTTTAAATAAATCGCTTTGTAAAATTTCCTCCCAGAGACCAAGATATCTTTGTTATGATGTAAAGATAAAATTAGTTTTTTAAATGTTTTGATGTGTTATCGAAAATCGTGTAGGTAGCCTCTGCTTGGTGCTATTGTGCTTAAGCCATTAAATGGCAATACCTTTACTGTAGAGAAAGTGACTAGGTCAACACTTCCTTGCTGTGAATAGCATACTTCAGGTATTGGTGGCAACTATCGATGAAAAACAGAACGTTTGGGGGGAAGGGGAGGGGGAGGGGGGAGTTGGATTATGAGCAAGTGTCGACAAATATTGAATATGCCTGCAATCTTTAAACAATGTAGGAAAATGTTCCGATAGCAAATTTAACCAAACAGCTTCAGAGTCGGCAAGTCCTTCAGCTGTTGTTTCTGTGTACTGAACGGTCGAGGGTCCTTTGGGCCTAACCCCCCCCCCCCCCCCAATTATGCTTGACAAATGCAACACAGTAAAATGACATCCACAACGAGATGATGGCAATTAACAAGCTTAAAGTTTCCCTAAAACGTTGCTTTAAATATGCTTATGTTCGCTTAAATTCGTGAATTGAAGTAAGTCGGTCTCACTAACCGTGACCATAAATTGTGAACAATGAAGCTTTGAAGCCAAGATGCCATTTCAATTTCTGCGACGATCTCGACATCACCATCCGATGTTAAGGCTCACGTGTATAAATTGTAATATTACAATATGTGTCGAGGAAATGTATGACAGTATGATATCATAACGTGCCAATAGTTTTGAAGTGGCTAATTAAAATGTATGTTGTATAATACCGTAATGTACGTAAATATTATTTGGCACACAGTGCACAAGACTTAACTCTGAGTATAAGCCTGAATTAGATTGGTACACAGTTTCTCTGTTTTAACATAAAACCCTACAAACGTAAACAATTCCCAAATAACAAGGTATCCTTGATACCCTGTACTCCGGTCCCCTTCGTTGCTCAGTTCTTAGCGATTCAGTCACCAAAGCGCAATATAGGCTCATGCCACCAGCGTAATGCCTTCTCAAAACAGTAGAATACCGTTTAATATCATAAAATATATCAAGTTTGTATAAATACAAACCTCTCTCTATGTCCGTAATGCCAAAATATTTCATGTCATTGCTTGTCGACCCCTCAATAGAAAGCTGTGTACCAAAATATAGACCATTTTTATCTCTTTGTTGAATTAAAAGTGTTCTGCAATGGACTCTGTATTGTTAATAACCATGAAACATATATCCAATCAACATCACTTTGCATCGCTTTCTCATAAATCTTGCTGAGATCCAAATAAAGTTTCCTTACCAAACGCATCGAAGCGAACGCTCTAGATTTCAACCGCAGCAGACCGAAAATTCCCAAGAGAAATCCAGGGTATTGTGAAACGCACGAGACGCATGAATTCATCTTTTTATTTTTCCCTTTCATCTTATTGTTTTACGGACAGAACAGAAACATTTTTTAATTAACAAGGGAAATCTTGATTGATTATAGAAGGGATGTGATGACATAAAAAGCTTCTTTCTCTCTATCGAATGTATTGATTTTGAGTTACATAATAACAAAAAACTGATGTCGAGACGATGACTGCTGCTCAGCCCATAAAATTTCGTTGATATTATTTTAACAAAATTCGTGGATATTATTTATTAGTCTTTAACTACTGACTGCGTTTCGAAGTACAGTATTCATATCAAAATAGATGAATTTCTTGAATAAAATCGAGAAATATTTATTGTTAAGATGAAGACACAAGCTGACCTGATGTAAGCAAAAGACTTTGACGACATTCCTCTTGGTCCCTCAAGCTGTGCGTTACATAGATATGACTTACAGGCAGTGGCGGAGTTGTAGTGCTGGGGGCAAAGGGGGCCCAACCCCCGTTGGGTATGGTAAAAATAGCCCATTTCTACTTTTTGCCTTACATAGATATGACTTACAGGCAGTGGCGGAGTTGTAGTGCTGGGGGCAAAGGGGGCCCAACCCCCGTTGGGTATGGTAAAAATAGCCCATTTCTACTTTTTGCCTTACATAGATATGACTTACAGGCAGTGGCGGAGTTGTAGTGCTGGGGGCAAAGGGGGCCCAACCCCCGTTGGGTATGGTAAAAATAGCCCATTTCTACTTTTTGCCTTACATAGATATGACTTACAGGCAGTGGCGGAGTTGTAGTGCTGGGGGCAAAGGGGGCCCAACCCCCGTTGGGTATGGTAAAAGTAGCCCATTTCTACTTTTTGCGATTGTTTTTTTGAGATACTTCTGGCGAGGGCCCCCATGTGCTTTTCAAAGCAACACATCCTTGGGCATTGGGTATTCCGAGGAAGAAACAGCAGGGTAAATTCCAGTTGTATGGCTACTGAAGTTCGGGAATCGAGACGCTGTTAACAATCGACAATCAGTTAAAATCTTTCTATGGCATTCCAGGATTACAGCGAACTGATGTTGTTAACTCAATTTACTTCATTCAGAGAGGCCAAAAAACTCAGAACGAATCAAAGGTATGGGGCAAACACATCAGAAGTTTCAAAATACAACGACTAGACGGGGGGAGACTGATAAGAGCTGGGGTAGAGACAAAGATAATTTCAACTCTAAAGTTCCCTCCCTTGCCCTCCAGATCTTATGGTTACGATTCAAGTCTACTTGATAGACCAACTAACTATTCATCGAATCTAAAAAAGGAATTTAATAGCAGAGATACGCGCGAAGTAGCAGATTTGAATTTATCAACACTACAATTCCTGTTTAGTGTATAAAACGATGAGAGGCCGACAAAACGCCACTTTAAAGATTAAAATCGAAAGAAAACTAACAAGGCTAATTATTCTGCGAATTATTAGATCCACAACTTAAATCTAATAAATTAAATGACAAATATGCTGTCTAAACGTCACCCGTAAACAAAAAGCAACATAGATGCTCCTCATAATCAAGACAATTATCCTTGAATAACCTCTTCCTCTCGAGATGATCAGTAAATCTCATTAAAACAAATAAATTCCGGCCTAGAAAGGGAAACTTTGGAATACTGGGGTAATTTTGCCACCAAGTACGTTTGAATGGCTCACCATTTAAAACTTCAATTTTTACCTTGTTGCCTTTCTGGGAAAAGCTGGCTTGGTGTTAAATGTTGAACAGACAAAACAATTGAACTGACGATTTCGTCGAACTTGAAAATTCTTTCAACCCGGCCTCTCTTGCTACAGGTTAAGAACTTATCGAAAATTGTATTTTTTCAGTAATTGTATATCAGATTGTTCAATTCGCGCCACCACATGATGCAGGCATTGATTTTAGAGTCTCAAATAAGAATACTCTTTTTTAACGATGCTTCAGCACAGGACAAGCTCATTCCTAATTCATAAAAGCATAGCTTTGCAACGACCTGCTGCTCCCCAACCACTGGTCACGTTGGCTGGGTGGGTGAACTCAGTTGTTGATTTGTCTCTGCACATGAAGAAGGAATTCTTGGTACGACATCGTTGACTCAGAGCGATCGTCGATTAAATTGTTTATAAAAAGCATTCGTGACCGACTATCCTCCCTGGAAAGATGAATTATTTCATCAATTAACGCTTTACTTTGATAAAATAATTATTCCAAATAATGCAATAATTACTGAGGTCAGGAAACATTGTAATACCAATGCCACAATTGCTTAAGGATATAAATTGATTTTCATCAATTTTGAGCACTGTAGATGGCAAGATTTATGACATAATATATATGTTTATTGACAGGAAAATTAAGAAGAAAGAACAGTTATCTGTCTCAAAGAACATGAAAGCTCTGTAAAACAAGCAAATTATTTCTGAAGGGACCCAAGGATAAGGGACACTAAACAATACGTTTTAGCCTTTTGAATGAATGTTTGAATCATTATAAAAGAATGAACTGTCATAATTTCTGTAAAATTATGTTTCGGAGGTTATCAATCAGCTTTCTTATTGTTTTCTTTAGTTTCTTCACTTTTTGTGGACAGGTTTCCAGCAGCACTTACAAATGAGAAAAACAGCAAAAAAGGGCGGGCCTTCTTCTCCACAGCAATTGTTTAAAAGACAATGAACAAAAAAACAAAATCGCAGAAAGCAACAGTAGAATAGACACGGCAAGGAATTCTAAACACATTATATAGAAACCAGTTCGTCAAATCGTTCACGATAGAAAAAGGACTACAAAAACACAATACGTTTTTCAATCTTCTCTCTTTCAAGTTGTTTGGATTCAAAGTGGACTGACAGTCTATCAAGAGATTGACATCATACATATAACATTCATATATGAAATCTTAGTAATCAAGAACCAAGATCCCTAGCAAAAATCAGCCTAACTGTCACAAGGAAACTCCTTGTATGATGATCCATAAAATAATCATGCTAACTGAAACTGTACTGAATGTGAAATGCACTGAGACTTACCTGAAAATCATAGTAGTGGGATAATAGCATCTATCTTGTTTAATTTTCTGAACAAATTTTCGAGTTTCGATTGACATAAGGTTGTCAAGCTCAGGAACCTTGCCCTGAATGAAAGGAAAACAGGTCTTCAGATGCGATGATACGAAAAAAGCTAGAAATGGCATGAAAAACATGTTCTGAACGAGAAACTATACAAAACATTATAATCAAAAATTGATCTGTCTAATGATTATGTATTGAACTGTACTGATCATGTATTCAAAATCTTCTGATAGAAAGAGACATTAAATTGTAAAAAATCTGTTAAAGGTATCGTGTAGAATATGCAGTGATTTTACAACTTAGACAAATCGAAACAACAATTACTAAAACATAACGAGAGCTACGCTCGATACAAACCATTGTCTCTGGGAGATCCTGAAAACTGTTGTAGTTGAAAATATTCTGAATAAGTTCTACTTGCGCATTTTTTCCTACGAATATGTAAATTGCCTATGGAAGAAAATGAAGATAACTTTATAGTTGAAAGAACTGACCAAGGACTGTGATCACTAGGTTAGGTCTTATTCATCTAAACGATATTTGCTTAGTTTGGTTTTGAAATTATGGTAAGGGTAATGAAATGAGAAACCAGTAGATCAATGTGTGGATCAATCTCAAAATCATTTATAAGAATATAAACTTTGGATCTCATTGTAATATACAAAACTACTTCAAAATGAATGAATGAAAAACTGAACACATTCAAAATAGAAAAAGTGAATTGCTAAAACAAAATCAATGTGAGTGAACGAATAACACAGCCGATTTTTGAGAGTACCCGCCCGGCCCAAACGACGTGGGCAGTGGCTTGGAGAAACCAGTAATAACAATCGCAGTGTATAGAGTTTATAGTGTATTTATGGTGTCTGTAAAATCATCAACGAAGAAGGTGATAAATACTAAGATCGCTTGTAGTGGCTTAAATTGGAAGTTGAAGTTTTACGTACTTTTCCACAATCCATCAGGAATATTCCTTGTCTGCTTAATCTCGCTCCAGAACAGTTAATTATAGCTGGATTATTGGATGAGCTATCAGACTGAAATATGATTAAAGGAAAGGTTAAGACAAAATAAACCTTTTCATTGGCAACATTGTTACAACAAAATTATGTATCAGAAAATGATTGTAAAATAAACTCCTAATTATTTTGTGTTAAACAGTTGGTTCCATCTTTAGCACCGTCCTTTTACAAAGAATATTTATCATTCAGTGAAATCCTTCGATGACCAGATGAAAATTACTGAATAATTTATCTTGGTTAGCATTTTAATGCCTTGCTGGTAACTTTGATGTTCATTCTCTACATAAAGAAAACTGGCAAAGAGGATGTTTTAGATGGAGTGTTTTTAGGGTTATTTTTTCTTGGTCTATAGCTGTGAATGTTTCGATGCATTGTCTACCTGACACAAAGCTACATGAATTTACAAAGCTATACAAATCTATATAACACAAACTTTTTATGTGCGCTTGTATGTAGTTATAGGCGCGTATAACTTTGCCCAAGTAGTAATATGTTGCAATTTCTACTATTTGTTGCCTCGTGATCGCTGCTATGACTGTCAGTTGCGGAAAAGCAAACTAGTTCCATTCGGCAATACTCGGCAAAGTATGATGTGACATTTATTAACGCTACTTTAACGGATATAAATACTTACATCGAGGAATAAATCGGTTAATGAAAACATCCTAGGGTATACAGAAATGATCAGGTCATCAAGAGGCAAAGTCTTAAGCAGCAGGAATGAATTCAGTCGCGCATCCAGTGTCACTCCACTTCCAAGCCTTAGGCCCTCCTGCAAAATCAGATCGATAAGTATTAACCATACACAACATGACTTATTTTAGTACTAAACTACAGTAATTAAAACATAGAAAAGCCATTGATGTCTACAAGATATGGTACTCTAGCACAATATATGAAAAAGGGAGGCTAAGTGGTTAGGGTTGCGGACTATAAATCCAATGGCCTAGGGTTCGAGGTCCTGGCTTGACCAAAAATAAACTTAAGGGCGAGGAGAGTTGCTATCTGTCGTTCCAGGCATAGGAATCACGCACGAGGTGTGATATTATCGAGAGGAAAATCCAGAACACTGCTCGATAAGCACAGCTTCTCAGTGTCCTAAAAATTAACTTCGGATGACATGTAGAAACAAATACAAAAAGAGAACAAATACAAACACAAGTTGTTTATCTCGGGAAATAACTTATTATCAGGTTATTATCAAATCTCAAGAACATTCGGCACAATAAATCGCATTTTGAAAGCAAGCAATGAGGCATTCAAAATAACAAAATGAAAATCAACACAATAGTAATACAGGGTTCTTTTCGACAGACAACGCTGCATTGATTATGCATTTGTAGTTCGACTTACATATTTGAGTAAAGCCAAGCAGTACATGGGCAGCAACCTCAAACTCGAAGGGGCTAGAAGATTGGTTGTTCCACGCTGTCCTGATATCTCCGAGCGATAAACTCTGAGGCAGTCTTGACATGCATTCATAATGGCCTGACAAAAATAAACGGCATGAATTGCTAATATCTAGGAAAAATATATCTAAAAATCCTAATTATTAAACAAAGTATTGGGGTTTCAGCAGTGAATTGAACAGTAAACACGCTACTTTTTCAAAGCTAATTAGGGCAAATAATGTTGCAGTGCCTAATGATGTTTTTAGAGCATTCAATGAGTTCTTTCTCTCAAAATTTACCCAGGATAGACCTTCAATAATGCCCCCTGAGGGCAGTAGTTAATTTTCCGATGTTTAAAACCCTCTTAAAAGGGCATTTTGTATCAAAATTCAAAATAATTTTTTCCATCATACCGCTTGTGACCACCTAAGAAAATCGTCAAAAACTTAAGAAAAACACTTCCTTAAATACAAATGCAGAACGAAGCAAGATTTTATCTAAAACTGTTTGCCTCTACAGTGTGCGACACAAAATCAATAATGTCCCACAAATTTGGGCCTGGACTGACATGACACAGAAAATAGAACAACGGAGCGATTTCGAGAGATTATCAATTATAATTTACTGATTTATCTATTTATCATTGAAAACAATTACATTAACATATGTTTCCTCATTATATTAGAGGAAAAACAAAAAAGGATTAATTTTTATCAAGCACATAATCAAGCAATCTGAGTTAAAGCAGTGGATATAAAAACACATACCTCTCTGGCATCTCCAAGAGACGAAGAAAGGCACCTGTCTACAGCTGAGGAAAAAATAAAAGCTTAAGCCATTTTCCGAAATAGATTTACATTAATGAATGAGGCCAACATTGGTATTTGCTTGAAACAGTATTTGATAAACTTTAATAAAAATTTCACAGACTCATCACATTTAGAAGTACTGGAGACTGTTTTTCCAATTTCAATGAGGCTAGCGAACGACGTTTGAGTGTTGACTTAATATTCTTGTCTAACCGCATATTTCATTATTCAAAATGCAAAATGACAACAACTTTTACTTGTACCAAACCCAAAATGGACTACCAGAACATTTCACAACGAGGGTTAATGATAGCAGGCAAATAACAGAAGCCAAATAGCAGTAATCAAATAGCATACCCATTTTGCCCAACAAAGACGCAATGGCTTGCTGGTCTGCATACGCATATAGGTCGCTTAATTTATTCGTTACTGGTATTGCCAACGTGTGAACTCGAATCCTTCGTTCTCCTGCAAGAGAAAAGGGAATTCGTGATTTTTGGAACCATTGCATCTGGAGCTTCACAGCCCCCGTTAGCGTTATAATTTCTGAGAGAGAGATAGCAGAGAAATAGCAAATGCTTACTCGAAGTGACAGCATCTATAAAATTGCCTATAAACGGGGGTCGTCTACACATAAAGCTACAACTGTGTCATCAAGAACATTCTTAAGAGAAGTAGATGATATAAACCCACCTCTGGACGTCGTGTACAAAAGAGCGGCCTGGAAACAAGCGTATTTATGATCCGCTAAGTTGTCCTCGATTTCAATTTGCATCGAGAAACTGTGGTCTGGGTTGACATTGGGAAGTGAGAGCAGGTCAGTCGATCGGACGAAGAAGTTGCCATGGAACGTGTGAATATTCAAACCTATACAGTAAGAAGACATACGAGAAATCAACGAAAATAAGATCCATTGCAGGTAAATTAATATTTGCTTGCAGATAAGCTCGAGCTCATCTCGTGCAAGTGGGAGGTCAAGAGGTTGGCGTTCTGTAAATGATGTGGTTTTCAAAAGAGCAGAGGTGTACGACATCTTGCTTTTCTACGTAATGGATATAATGAAGCAGGCTTAACAGTGTGTGTATTCTATGAAATCAGTAGAATGGTCCTTGCTTTTGAAATTTTGCTATTAAATATCCCTCTTCTTTAACTCTTGAATCGCATTTTTTCAAAGCTCTCCTGCTAACTTTCTTAGTAAGCCCTTTCCATGGCTCTTTCGAAAGGTATACACAAAACTCATGAGTCCTGTCCTGCTTATACGGAACATTTGACACGCTAAGCCTAGATTCAGAACTTTCCCTGAATTTGCTGTAAAATTCTTATATATGTTTTCCATGCTGCCTGCTGAACTTTTTCCAAAGATTTCCCACACGAGCAACTTATCTGAAGGCTTAACTTCAAAAGGTACAAGAGAACTCATTAACTGTTGCTGCACCATAAAATTTTCAAAAAAGTTGCAAGAAATGTTTCGAATGAACTGAGTGGCAAAACATCTTTATCGTGGCGCAATTATCTCTCGTCGGGTTTAATCACAAAGTACTACCAACCTTTAGCACATCTTGTGCGCATCACAGCCTCAAACCCAATTGGACGAGTCAAGTAATGCCTGAAAAGGGAGCATTCATCATGTTTATATGCAATAATAATAACAAATGACATTTAAATGGCCAGTAGCAACTAATTCATCCATTGCTCAATAATCATTGGTCTATTTAACGCCACCCTCATTTCATAAAAAGGCAACATTTGCAAGTGACTAAGAAAAAACAAATGATTGAGAAAAGGAACTTTAGAATGAAGAGCTGAGAGAAACTTGACATAGAAAGTAACTTAACAGCCTGTAGTACATATGCTTTTACTGCATCTGTCAGTTCTTTTGCAATTTTAGAATGCTTTTAGAATGCTTTTAGAATTTTAGAATTGAATTGGTTTCTTTTTCTTTAGGGCGCGAAATCTTTGTAGCACACCATAACAGCTAGAAACAATTTTTTGATAGCAACACTTCACAGAAATAGGACGACTGAGCTTCAGGATCAATTTATATGCATATGTATCGCTTTTTGGAGCCACTGGTATTTAGACATGACTTGAGGCGAAGATGCCTGATTGGGATATTTTCCAAAATAGACATGAAAATTTAAAATTCCAAATAAGTGATTTCAAACCTATAGTCATTTTCAAATTTCTCCATCGCTGCTTGGTTCTTTGTTGCATGGAAATCAGGAAAGTAATAAACACAGCCACTTGAATATTTCGAGACACATGCTAAAATTAATTTAGTTAAATTTCAAGGAAGATGTCATTTGTATGTGTTAATGAAGACTGTTTTAACGAATGCTTGACTTTAGTGAAAGAAATAGAATTTTCATAAATATAGGTTTATCCCCTTTAAAATAAAGCGCTCTGTTCGATGTACATCAATTGATTTCCAAATAAATTTACTACCGTAAACACAACAACATTGTCCCGCGGGACAACACATGACCCAGCCCCATGATTGTCATTCCTTAAAGAATCTAGTATATTTGCACAACTGGAGCATAAAAACAAAACTGAATTAAATTGCAAATTAAAACATTTGTATCAGAATGCTGATCATTCTTGCCCTTAAGCTAAAGGCAATAAATGCTCAACTCTTCAAAAAGGCTTGTGATACTCACATAACGAGGCCAAGTCGACGTATTGCCCAGTGAGAACAAAAAGATCAATGGCAACTTGATCACCAGCACAGTCTAATGCAAGTTTCTTGTAGAAATCCGTTGCGGGATTCAGTTTTTGAGAGTCCTACATAAAGAAAAAGACTTTCAGGGTGCTTCACAGTGAAGAGGGGGTATCTGCAAAGGGGGAATCGAGCACATGCCCGGAGAGTTCAGATCAAGAATAGGAGGTTTATCTCCAAACACTGTTGAACACTTCAAACACTGAGACTGATGAAAACTGCTCCATTCCCCAACATGCTGCTGAAAGAGGTTTGCCTGTTACATCTTAATCATTCGAATTCATAAGAATATGGGTTCCTTTTTTGTGTAGATACAGTTTAAGACATCTTTGAATCAACAGATTAGAGCATTGCCAAGGCAAAAAATTTAAACACATTACACAAAGCTTAGAGAAGTAGGACGTAAAGCAAAATACTTGAATAATCTAAACAGTCTCATTGAAATGGTTCCCAATCGAATGTGTATGCAATAAAACCAACCTTGCCATTCCCTGACATATTTGCCAGCTCTCTTCTTCCTAACTTCCCCGGTCCGATTGAGGGTAAACATGTCTGGAAAACAGTGATTCGACCACCCGTTGCAGACTACAGTGAAGAAAACAGAATACAGTTAAAAAGAAATTGAAGGCCGGCATTTATGAAATGGCTTTGACATCATGTGGCAAATAACTTTTAAACATAGCGAAGTATGTTCACATTTCTTACAGTCCATTTCTGATCATTCAAATTTTCAATGCTTTAAAATTATCCAAATTTGATAGAAAATTCCCTCCCTTAATAATTAACCTTTGTTTAGCCGAGTTAGTGACAATTTGAACACAAGCTCGATAATTCAAACAAATTTTTGCATTATCCTCAAAAGTTCAAAGTACCAGACATTGAATGTCTCCATTAAAAATACTTCGAAAGCAAACTAGCGATGAACGACACAAGTAAAGAGGGCTTAGAGAGAGCCCAGTGTAATGCCAATTGAGCTTGATTTTTGTGTGCCGCTGTTTGTGGACGGGGGGTAATGACAAGCAATAACAAAAACAAGCCTAGACAAGTAAAATACGATAACACTCACAATGAGTTTGTGCGCAACTTGCATAGCAGCTCCAGTTGCACTTTGCACATCACCCGTATCTGCGAAGGACTGTGGCAGCGATTCCAGGAATTGGAACACCATCTAAAACCAACAAAAAACAAAGCTATTACAACCAACATCTGGCAGAGAGACGAGTTTAAAGAATTCATGGCCTAGGAAACACAAACAGTATGACTGGGTTTTTATTCCAGTTTTGGACAGAAATGTTGTCATCAAACGTATTCACAGAGATACCAAGTCGATTTGAAGATGACTTTATCACGTAGCTTGCTGCAAGTGCACACTCAAATATTTTCTAATCGTCTAAAGCTAAAAAGCAGTTCAACGAAACAAGGTGTCTTCAACAAATGTAAGTTCTGACTTCTGAGCCTCTTTCTAAATTCATATCAGAAAAAAGCCAGAAAACGATAACTAAAGTACCAAGAACTGTCTAAATAAATGTCAATAAACAATTTTTACTTCAGTATATTTTGGTGGTAGGCAAAAAGGTAAGCCACAAGTAAAAAAGGGAAAAAGATTTAACTAACCTCTTTGTTTTCTTTGAGATTCACTAACAAGCCCTCAGGCGATGGAATGAAGACATCTGCAAACAAAACAAAATCACGTCACTTGAACGTTTGCATCAGAATCAGTGTTGCGCTGTGATAACGATACATCAATTCACCGTCAACTTCATTTATTCGAGAAAAGTTGACAAGTTTCGGTTCTTAGCGAGGAAAAGTTGTGGTTCCAGTACGTTTCTCCTTCGAATTTAACTCTTATTTGCAAGGGGGGGGGATATTTGAAGATGTTTTCTCATAAAGGCCCCCTATTAAAGAAGGTCAAGAACTGAATAAGTCCTTGGGGTTAAAACAAACAACGACAGAATATACGTGGGGCGGCAGACAGCGAATTCTGAAGTGATACCACTGAAATATCATTTTGGAATAATCTTAGATTTAAGAATTCAGAATTTTAGCTAGATCACTAATACCCTTTATCTATTTTAAGCAAATATCAAATTTCTTTTAATTTTTTCAGAACATGCAATTAATTGATTACATTAATAACAAATGAAATTGACATCTGGTAGCGATACTGACCATCAACATCTGACATTATAAACATTTGTGGTTGCGTTTGTGCTGCCTGTGACAAAAAGCAGAAGTAATTAACAAATATATATGGATATGTGCAATTTATGTCTTTTTACACAGATACTATACCGCAAAGGTTCATATATTTCATCATATATTCATCACACGCTATCCAAGTTGAGATCGCCCCCCCCCCACCCCCCATCCCCCTAACCAACCAACCAACTCAAGCAGAAAACTTTGGTTCTTGGCACATTAAATTGCAACATAAATTCTAAACTGTTAACCACAATCATTAAAAATCTGGAAGAAAGAAGGGCCACAGGTTGATTAGGGTTAGATGATATCCCGAGAGTAGCCACAGAAAGCCATACTAAAAGCGAAAAAATTCAAACCAAATCATGACAAGTTGAGCAGAAAAAAGCTGTTCGTATTACTAGTTAATTGAAAGTGAAATAAAAAGCCGACTGTTTACCTTTAAACTATAAAAATGAATTGAACTATTAAACGTTATGAAGCCAATCATCGTCCTAGCATCACCCGGTATGTTATCCAAATTCTCTTTGAGTATTCGACAAGCGTGAGAAAGGTATCCTAAAAATATGAAAGGAGGCATTAGAAAAACATCGCCACGGGGAGGAAAAGTACAGTAAATGAAATAAATCTAAGGAAGAAATTGAGTTGAAAGTGAAAAAAAATTGAAATTTCATGACAAAGTTTTTGCAGGGAACCCTGAATGTGCACGGTAGACTTCGGTCATTTTCCCTTTGAACATCGAAAACAAATCATGGAAAGTTATGAAAACATAAAACAAGAAATGTGAACAAGATAGCTCTAAGAATGGCTATTTCTTCTAGCAAAAAACATTTTTTGCAAGTTAAAAAGTGAAAATAAGTAGCCCATTAATTCTCCATATGAAAAGTCTACATTTAGATTTAAAATGAATATGTATTCCACATCTTTTTACGATAAGAATATTTTCTAAGTCGCTGTTGAAAATATAACAGGTTTTTAAACAAAGCTCTTACCTGTCCCGATTGCATTGAAGGACACATCCAACACAAACAAGAAGACGGCGGGCTGTGGAGGACGAAGCTGTTGGAAAGAAGTTTGACGTAAGATGTATGCTTTCAAAGAAGCAAAAGGGAGGAATATTAACCGATTTTATGTATATGATTTGATAAAACGATTTGCATTCACTGATAAAATAATCATCATTCAACTCAAGAGAAATAAAATGCAATAAAATTTTACGAAAAACGGTTTATTTTGTTCTAGGGAGATGCTTTGTGTTCAGTCCATTATAGCTGTTTTACACGAAGAGGGGCTATTTGCAGAATGTGTAAAGTCTTGTTGGCAAAGGGAAGGATTCTCAATAAGAAAGGATAGAATTTTAACTACTGAAAGACAAATGAACAGAAAATCGATCAGTTTATCAAAGTTTAATTCTCTCGGTGTTATGTGCAGAAAAACGAATGTTTTCAGCGGATAAACACATACATTTACATAATCCAATACTGAAGTGCAAAGAAAACTGCCATCAAACATACCATATACTCCGAAGGAGCAATGAATTCGTAAGAGGAGTAATTGAGTTCTGGGCGCTTTCGTGGATCAACGAATGCTTTTGTTATTGGGTCGTATGACAAATCCGATGGAACTGCAAATAATTTTAAAAGCGTTATTATGCTGTTTGTGCGTAAGCGCTGATGTGGCCTAAGAAGGCAAAACTCATATGTTTTTATGTACATCTTTATGCAAAGGGTTGTGTGTGATTTTGGGAACAATTTGGGAAGACATGTCATAGGAAGAAATATAGCTAACAAGATATAGAAATTTCAAGCCAAAACTTTGCTAGGAAACGATCTTGTTATTGAAAATATGCGTAGAAGGTTGTCAAGAGGTAGTGAAAACATAAGGATACAAAGCAATTGAAAATAAAGGACAAATTTCTAAAATTCCAAAAAAATCTACGTGGAAAATACATTTTCGATTCTACGTATAAAATGCATCATTTATTGAAAAAAACATCATTAGAGGCTTTACTGTGTTTAAAACTTCGACCTCACTAGGGAGATATAACCGTGATAGGATTAAATAGTACTTACTGTCATTAATTCTGAAACAAATATTACACTGCCATCTCCTTTGATCAATGACTGACACAAAAGGGTTAATATATGTCCGGCAAGACTTGCAGCGAGTGATCACCGACGATGTAATAACTGGAATATTCTGCACAATAGAGAACGGCAACATTAAAAAGGAAATAAGTTTTCCCCAATTTTCAAAGATGCTTTATTTACAATGAGGATGGATACGCATCTGGAAAAGTGGCGATCACTAGAAATTTTACCCTGAGCCGATGAACATGAAAGGTATCTCTGAAAAACCTCAAAATTTGGCAACAAGACGACGCCCTCTTTTCTTATTTCTTCTTGCTCATTTACTGGAGGAAAGTTAAAATTCTCTGAGGTAACAATGATATCTTTTGAAACTAATCAAATTAGTTTTCTGTGAAAAGCGTCCTTTTTCAACGACATTATTTCTCAAATTGGATTAGAACCCATTTTAAACGGTAAAGGATAAAACATGCCATTCCAGGTTGAAGTCTACCTGCTTCCTTCTTTTGTCGAATTAAAATTAAAATAAAAGCTGAGTGGGTGAGCTGAGTATATTTAAAATACGTATTTTTTGGTCAGATTAATTTTTGTTGCAGTTTGTTTTTATAAACAAAGACTGTTAGTTTTGATGGTTTTAATAAAGAGCTACTTTGATAGTTCAACTGTACATAGATAATGAATTCTAATGAAAACTACTTTTTACTGGTCGGTCAGAAAGTGTTGTTCGGTTGATACCGTATAGGCAGAGTTGTAAACGCTATTTGGTGTATAGAACAGGACGGTTCTAAGTTGCTACTCCGAGTTTCACGCGATCATCAGACGACTGTTGAAATTTATCTTGAATTCTACATAGATAAATTTGGAAACGAATATTCTAATATGAATGATAAATAAAATTACCGAAATTTCTCTGAAGGGTTGGATATAAAGTCCGAAAGGTAAACGGCTTTTGCTTAAGAGCGAAGATGATTCAGGAACAGCATTGATAGTTGAGCGAAAGACCCTTTGAAAATAAAAACAACCATTAGCTTGGGAACCAGAAGACAATACTTCGAGAAAGGAAACTGCGAAAAAATGAATCAACGATTTAAATTAACAGAGACAAATAGTTGGGATAAAAAAATCTCTTCTGGCAGAAAATAATCTTTGTGCAGATACAAACTACATTAAAATCTAGCAATAACAAATTAGGGGTGGTTTACGATTCATGGCGCCTGTTTGAAAAGACGCAATAGTGACGTCATCAAGGCCGAAACTGTACCAACTCAAAGGAAAGGATCTACATTAAATTAAGAGGCTGTTAAAAGAGGGAACGGCCATGAAAAACGGACCGAGAAACAATGATATAACAATCAGGAACTAAATTTTGAAAAAGAATTGCAGCACATGTATCAAGGGAGGAGGTTTTGATAACATGAAAGACTCAGATACCAAAAACAAACTTACTTTGGATCAATCGCTTTTCTTTTCATATCCTAGAAAAAATACAATATGATTAACTATCTATTTATTTATTAAAACACGAGAGCAACTGAAAATCTCTCTAACTGTTACTTAAAAACATTGCTAATGATAAATTTTAACTGTTGGCATTCGAAACCTAAGTAAAAAAAGCTCACCTAAGTTTCCAACTAAGAAAGCAAAATTTTTTAAATATGAAAACGCTAGTTTTCATTACAAAATAGCATTCTTTTATACGAAAATTGTATTCTTCAATAGAAAAGAAAGATTTTCTTAGTAGGAAAGTAGTATTTCTTCAATTAGAATATAGCATTTTTGAACAGAAAAACAGTATTCTTTCAAAGGAAAAAATTATTTCTAATAGGAAAAAAAGGTTTTTAATAGAAAAATAGTATATAATTCCAATGTTTATTTCATGTTCTGATTTTTTCATAGAGTAGCTTTTTTCATAGCAAAAAAGTGAGATTGATGCTTAAATAACAGCAAAAAAGAATGAAAGTAAAATTAGCATTTACAAAATAGCGAGCCTGACCACTGCTATGCAATAAACAAATTGATGAACGCCTTACACTGTTTTAATAAAAATAGCACTCTGGCAAAAAGACATACCTCACTGAGAAGTGGTTGTGGAGGCTCAATGGGAACAGGTGGTACGATTACCCTCCTTTCCATGAGGTCGATTGGGTGAATTTGAGATTGCTAGAAGAGAACAAAATAAATTAAAAATTATAAATACATTCCTTTATGTATTTGGTGCATCACAGATCTCCCAAGTTTAATGGTTACATAAACCATCCAAGCTTTCATAAGAACTGTCCGACTCTTGTGCATAAATTTAGCCCCTTATAATGAGAGCCAGGGTATTTACATGAGTAATCAGCCAATTGGCTCCAATTCATAATCATATGCAGACTAAGCAGAAAAGCTAGTCATTACACAGCCCCAAATCAGGTTGCTCAAAATCAAGAGGATTCCACCAAGATGAGGAATAAATAGGAAGAAATATATTCCTCAAGGAGATACCAACTATGAATATCCCAAAAATTTGGGTATTGACTACAAAAGGATCAGGTAAATAAAAAAAATAACAAACCTCAACCGTCAGTCTTCCAAAAGAATTGGCTAACTGTGGCATAACAGGCTTGAGAAAAAGAAGAAAAAAGTTCAGTTCAATTAGAGATAAGTGAAAATATGTGGCAACATTAAACACTTTTTGAAAAAAGTTTCATTTAATTGCTGAATTGCTCCAAAATTCTTAGTCAATCTTTCCTCAAATATTTTGTGAAAAGAGGTAGCTAGACATGATATAGTATGTGATAAAGTAAGGGACATTTTGTACCAGAATATTTTAATGACAAAAGCGAGGCAATCATTCAAAAACTTTTATGATAGAATTCATCAACAACTCTGCTATCACTTTCCATTTCTGATTTACATTCAGTTGAAACTGATTGATTATATTCAGCTGAATGAAACTTGTCATTTGACAACTATTGACAATTCAAGCAAATTAGTTTGGGAACATACCGCTGCACCAGGTGCTTGTGTCATTTGCTGATTTGGGGTATTGGCCATTGAGCCAGCTATAGGAGCACCCACGTTCATCTGCTGTCTTTGCAGGGATGGTGATTGCATGCCATATTGATTCTGCATTGGCCCACTAGATAAAGACTGTCCAGGTGGAGGAATTGGTTGCTGTGGTTGGCCTGTTTGGGTTGCCTGTGGGTAGCAGTTTCAGTTGTGTTAATGGGCTCTTCTTAAATCTAATAGACTGAACTAATTACATAAAATTATATCAGAGAAATTGAAAGTTTTGACAATAGTCAAGAATTTACAACAAGGGAGCAAGAATTCTGGGCTGAGAACAGGAGAACAAGTGCAAGGGTTTTGTATATCTATATGTATATATTTCTAAAGAAGAGGATGAAAAAGTATATAATGTATATGAATACTAGGGTCTCAAACAACTTTAGACTGATACTTGTCTTAAAAGCACAACAGGCTTAGGCTCCATCAAAGAACTAAATTCTGCGTATATCCAACCAATGCTATAACAATAAAACTCATTGAATAAATGAATGTTTAAGTTATATGATTCTATTCAACTAAACAAAACATTTATATACAATTATTGATCAAAAATTTCAATATCTGATTATATCCTTAAAACAAAAAAGGAATCAAAATATTTTGGCATGATAATCAGATCTTGAAAATAAATCATTTGAGTTAAAGAACAGCCTCATGGGGCATGCTTATATTGCAGATATTGGCTGACAGAACCTGCATTTTCCATTTATTGTTAACTTTTGAATTGTGTAATTTTATTTTTCCTAGATGCTCAACTGAGTGCCTAGATAGTCAAAAGTACTCAGTTTTTAAGGCACCTGCTTTTTTGCTTCTCACAAGGCCTGATAGGCAGCACTGTATACCCATTGATGTATGGTTGCTTTATACCAGATGCTAAATGTTTTTTGTGATGGCCCTCAAAATACTTTTTATGTCCTTACTCTAGAATAGTAGCTGTGATACAGAAAGATGAAGAAAAGTGATAAGTAAATACCGTCTTAGGATAATGTCTTCTATGGCCACCAGCAGCAGGATGAATATGGTTATCACCTTGAGGTTGATCAACAGTTTCTACAACAAAGATATTGATCAATTTACACCCTGACTTTCAAAATGATGAGTTTTATGAAAAAGTATAGTGAAAAGGCTGACTGATTCAGTTGGGATGATTGTTTTTACATTGGGTTTAATTTTGCTTCAAAATTACCGAATCAAGTAGAAAATATACAACAAACTTTAATTTAAAATCAATGTAAATATAACCTTAATCCATAAAAATACAAAGAAACAGAAACTCTTAGAAAGCTATTTTTTAAATGTTTAAAAAATACAAAAGCGTATTTATCTTGGCAATTATTGTTCATAAATGGAAAGAAATTAAAACTTGTACATAGAAATAGTCACTAATAAGTGAAGTGTGATAAAGAAATACATAATTAACTTTTGATGAAGATGATTAAAACAATATTGATAAAAACTAAAAATGTAAACTTAGACAGCTTGACATTCTAAAAAATACTTGTGAAATTCATTATTATATTTGAACAAATCATCAAGCAAATGCTACCTTTCTCATAATAAAGCAATACAACTTAAACCCATTTATCCAGGACCGGCAAGGTCAGCATGGACCTGGAGACCTAAGACCGGCAATGCTGAGTTTTGAAGGGTGGTAACCAGTGGCAGACACTTGGGGGGGCGAGGGGGGCGATCGCCCCCCAATACTTTAGAGAACAATGGTCTTTTGTTCTAAAACAATGGGAAATGTGACATCATCTTATTAAAACAATAGGCTTGCCCCCCCAATGTTTGACCAAGTGTCCGCCCCTGGTGGTAACTTTAAGTCAGCTCTAAACATAGATGCCTTTTGCCTTACATAAAATTAGGAAAAGTGCCAAACCTTGGGCTGGTGGTGGTAGAGAAGCTTGTCCTGGTGGTGGTAGAGAAGCTTGTCCTGGCGGTGGTAGAGAAGCTTGTCCTGGCGGTGGTAGAGAAGCTTGTCCTGGCGGTGGTAGAGAAGCTTGTCCTGGCGGTGGAAAACCTTGGCCTGTCCCTAATGATGTTGGAGGACCTGGCTGCCTAATTCCATAAGTACCAGGATAACTAGTGCTTGATGGCTGTTGTGCCACCCAAGCCCCTGATTCACTGTCATAAACCTGGCCACTATTCTGACTTGTTGGTGGCCTATGCAATGGCTGACTGAGGAGATTTGGTCTTGGAGGCTGTGATAATGGCTGTGGTGCTGGCTGTGATGGCCTTAAGGGGCCAGTAAAAGCTGGGGTGACAGGTTGTGGCTGGTTTGACATGTGGCCGATCTGACCATTTTGTGCTACAGTCTTTTGAATTGGGTGTCGCATACCATGAACTGGATTACCTGGCCCATTTGACATTGGAGGAGGACCTAAGGACATAGATTGTTGTGTCAAAATGTTTTGAAATATCTTTGTTTGGTGTTATGAGAATGCTCAGATAAATATGGAATCCAATTTTCTAATTATTTTCAACTTCCAGAACTTCCAAAATACCCAGACACAAAAACAGTATTTGGAAAAGCTATGTTAGCTAAACAAAGCTTTGAAAATAAACACTTTTTGTGAACTAAACAGCCTACTTAAGAATACAGTGCCAGTTTTCTTGGCTCTATAGATAGCTTTTGCAAATACCTAATAACTGACAATAAACACTCTTTTACTATAGCATAGTGCTGGAACACACAATATAAAAAATATTGTTTTAAAAAAAAGATTCACTTTTGATCTATCAACTGTAAACATGGGACTTTTACTACTGGAAACGATAAGAATTCGGCAATTTCAATATATCCAGTGACAAAATCAAACAATTGTTACTTTTTCAATTTGCATCATTATAAATAGTTTTCTTAATGTGTAGGAATTTATGTTCATCGCATCTCTTTGTAACAAAACTTCGACTAGTAATATATCATCAACTGGTGGTACTATTTTCCAAAAGAATCATCAGGGGTAACTTGTGTGGTCATTAAATCATATTACAATGGGTATCATTTATAACATCGAAATTGTGAAAAGTGTTACCAATTCAAGAAAAATTTCGTTGCTTTTCAAGAGAGGGATTATTAGTAAAAATATATTAAATTAGATAGCTATCATTTGCACTGCACTTTCAATTTCTCTAGAGCCATACAACACTAAGACAAATAAAATAGTTTATGTAGCAGATGTTTGTGGCCTCTGCGCTGATCAATGTTGCTTGCGGAATAAAAAAATATTTAGCTTACCCGAGGCTTGCGAAAAGCCTGGCCTACTGACTCCACCAGGAGCTGATGAAGTTGAGTATTGATAGCCACCTTGTGGATTGCCGTACGGGTAAGACATCGTATCTATTGTTTCACAAAAGCACAATATCACTGTCAAAAATGCATTACTGTCCAAACTGCGACTAAATTGTACTGAAATTTCTGTTCCTTTCCATTTGAAGATACATTGCTTTTTGCATAAGCACCAAAGGCCGATTTGCCCTGAGACTAGTTTCCAGTCTGCTCGGCTTCGACGCGACGTGGCAAAGATGTGAAGCATCCATGATGCATTGTGATAGACAGAGAATGAAGCATTGGTCACCAAGAAACCTGGTTAAAAAGTAAATAACAACGAAATTCAGCCTGTATCCAAAACAATTTCTTCTTATTGACGAAAGGCTGAATCATGCATAGTACTATTCTGCCTATCAAAATTTGAAACTTGAACTTAAAATTTTATCCTAAATACCTTTTCATAAAAAACTTCAGTTTCAGCTTGGCGTTTCTTATTTCTTCGTATGGTTTCATTCCTTCGCGTGTTTCTTAGCTTGTTTTTTAATTTCATAATCGAAACTTCATTTACATAGTAGTGCCTTGACGTAACATGTGCTTGATTGATAACGTAATTAAAGCCTCTGACCGGGATGTTGCATTTGTACCTGCAGCTGCACTTGTTATGTAACTGTTGTTTCAGTGTCTTTTTGCTTATCTCTTTCTGTTGTTCTGTTGATATTCTTTTATTTTTCAATTTTTGCTAGTATTTTATTTTCTTAAGTTTTGTTGAATTGCAGACTGCCTTGTTTCTTGTGTTGTTCTTATTTCGGGGCAAATCTCCGCCTGGTGCTCTTATAAAAAGTGTGTATCGATAGAAACATTTTATTCTCAGCTTGAAAGTTTTACCAATGGAGTCCTAAAGTGAAAATGAACTCCTTCTGTCTACACAATAGCGGTTTTCATGTTCATGTAGATAGATTCCAAAACTGCTAGATGGAACGAGGAGCAGGTTTTACCAATAATCCGAAACATGTCGCCATTATAGTTTTTTGCACAATTTGGGTTTTCCAGTAAATGCTGCCCGATAGCAGAATCGCATGTTTTAATTGTAGTTTTAACTGCAAGACCGAGGTGGCTGTTCTCTTTTGGTGAGTGTATAGTCAGTTTGGCTCAGTTAAACGAATTCGTCGTTAAAGGACTTGTCTCTCTTCGACTCTGTGTTCTCGTAAAATACGACAAACAATGGCAAGGACAGCTTATAAAAGTGGAGACAGACAGCGATATCTAGGAAAGCATTCGTTCCTTAACTGTATCCCTAGCTCTCGCAAACGGTGAGAAAAGTTGTAACAGGCAGAGCTCAGCTCAGCAGTAGCAAGCACGAAAAGAACACCGTTATTGACGTAAAAAGAAGACGTTCTACCTTTTTCATGTGGGTATAAAATAAATCGATGATTGAAGTGATACTGTACTTACTCGGTTCGTTTTCTTTTCGAATTCAATCGGTGCGGTGAAACAAGTTTTAATCAAGAAAATATGCTGTTCTGCAAAGTATGACGTAGAAAGGATAGGAAAACATTGTAAATGGAAAGTAATTTTCACAGAAAAGCTATTATTCGTATAAATTATGAATCGTTCCATTCAAGTTGGTAATGTTATACATTGTTCTTTAGGAGAAGATACCAACAAACGCCTTGGTCAAGCAGCCACCGGCAATTTTTTAAAAAAACGTCTTGACCAAAAAAAAATTAGCATACTCAATATAAAACTATAAATTGTAAATAGCACTTAAAACTATAGATGAAAACAAATTTTATATAATTAAATGCTTGAAAATGAATTCAAGTTTCTGTTTTCTACCGAAGGAAAAAATTAAAGATTTGAATTCGATAAGTCAATGTTGGTGCCTCAGTTCTGGCCCTCTTGCAATTCAAGACATTCCTGAATACATCAGACTAATTACGAAACAGTGGCCTGGACATCAATACACCAGTCATATGCGTTATGGAACATTTGTAGCCATGGGGACGTCTTCCTTCCTCGCCATGCCTCCGGCATCCAAGGCCATTGCCATAGCACTGAGCATCGCTCGGGATGCGGCATCATTGCCAAATGCCTGCCATCCGCCGAGCAAATCGCAGCAATGCCATCCGGTGAGCCGTTGGGGTTGAAGGGATATCTTGTAGTAAAAGACCCCTCGTCATCAACATACCGTAACGGAGCGAGGCTTGCACCGATCACATTCGCCTTCGCTGCGTCAGTTCTGAATTCCACTTTCCCTTCGCCGTGAGCCACCCATATTCCAAGTGTCGACCCTTCCATGTTCTTCAGCATTATAGACGGGCTTTTCTCGATTCTGACCGTACTAAATCGGCATTCAAAGCGCCCAGAATCGTTATGCGTTAAACAAACACTTTGCTCTTTGCTGCCAACTTTCTGGTCACTACCGACCCATCCAATCAGTGCCATTAATTGGCATCCGTTGCAAACACCAAGACTAAACGTGTCATCCCTGGCTCTGAAGTTCTCCAGTTCCCTACGGGCGACCTCATTGAAGAGTGTGACGGCTGCCCATCCCTTTGCAGACCCTAAAGCATCAGCATAGCTAAAACCACCAACAAAAACAACCCCACGGAAGTCATCTAGCTTGACATTCTCTTCACAGATATCATGCATAGTGACATCCCAGACTTCAAATCCGGCCATTAATAAACTCGACGCCATTTCTCTGTCCCCATTACTTCCTTCTTCCCGTATAACAGCAACCTTAGGCCTCCCATTCTTGGCAACTCTTTCTTCGTCAATTATCATTGCTTCTCTTGGCTCAAAACTTAACTGATATTGTGGAGCTATCCTTGCTGCTAAACCGGTTTCTTCTTCTTCAACACAACTCGCGTTTGCTTGAAGTCGCTCCAACTGAACACTTGTCGCCTCCCAAACATCACGTAATGACGTCATTTTCTCATTCACTAAAACATCACCATTGACTGAAACTTTGACCATTGACGACGGCCCGTTGCCAGTGGGATGACCAACCACCGTAGCCAATACACCATGCTCGCTGAACGAATTAATCACTGTGGAGGCGCTTGATCTTAAGACCTCTAAAACGATGCCTAATTCTTCGGCAAAAAGTACTTGCAGTGCTTTTTCTGGAATATCATCGACTGCCAGCTCAATGTTGATGCCTCGATTGCCACTGAACGCCATTTCTAAGAGACACGTGATCAGACCTCCATCACTGATATCGTGTCCAGAACGAATTTTACCATCTTGAATCAGCCTCTGAGTGACCAAGAAACCATCTTTGAACATCTAGAACACACGAATAGATTCTGGTAACAACAGAAGGCAACTTGAAGTAGATTTTCAATTTAAAAATCGATTTAGGAAAATATTTATTATTTTATAGTACCAAATATACAGCAGAACGGTTTCATTGTTTTTAAAGTTCCCTGGGCTGAGAAGTTCATCCACAGCTAAATGAAATTAAGAAGCTGTTTGGTTTTGACAATCTAAATATTGTAAAAAAATAAATGATGTTGCTTTTGAGATTGTCACGGATATGTAAGTATGGTAATATATAAGATAGTCTTCTCTTTTCTCAAATAAAAATATAACGCATAAAGGAGAAAAAACAGTGCACCATTTAAGTGCCAACGATCAATGAACAAATCCCGGGACATAGAAGATGTGATGTGGATCTGGTTCACTTGAATAATATATCCAAAGAAACCTTGACATAGATTTGGGGTTGAAAGCCAAGATGGTGGCTTAGAATCTTGGACCGGTCGTATTGACTGCAGAAGATGCTATGAGAGACCATGTGGTACATGAGTCTTCAAGTTACTGTCGGTAAAATGAACATTGAGATGTTGACGCTTTAAGATCCGAATTTCGAGCAGCGAGACAAGGTTTTGCTTACCTAACATAAAGGGTGAGCAAATTTTTATGAAATTGGAAGACACAGCATTTTCTCTAAAGTACTTTGGTTTATGGTACAATGTACAAAACACGCTTTGGTGTATAAAACAGGTCATTATAAAACAACGTAAATACTCGATATGTACGAGGTCGTCCTGTAAGTTTAAGTCTGTACATTCACTAAATGAATACCTTGTTTACAGTTCTCATTTCGCATGAATTCTAAAAGAATAAAAGAAACTGAAAGCCAGAAGTTGAAGTACTGACCTGCACATCGTCCATGTCAGGAGACTCATTGCCAATCTGTCCATAAACCTGTGCCAATGCACTTCCACCGAGGCGGTTTGAACCCTTGCTAAGTTTTACATGTATTAGCACACTTGCCTCGTCATCTGACTTCAAATCCGGTGTAACTGTTTTTGTTATATCAGGACATGGCACGTAAAGTGACAGCACGAGCTCCCCCGGGCATTTAACAACCTCATCTCCCACTCTAGCAGCCATACTCAACGAGTCCTTCCCGCCATCGACAGCAATTCCAAGTTCTGACATTGTTTCGCACATCGCTTTGCAAGTATCATAGAGCCTGGCTCCTTCACCATGAAGTTTTGCAGCCCACATCCAATTGCCACTGCATTTGATGTCCTTAAAAATATGACACACATGACAACAGTGATTTACCAAAACAAAGGTGCGAACTAAAGGCGGTGTTCATTAAGTTTAACCCAATGATTCCAAACAATGAGCCAAAAGAATGATTAAGCAAAAACAGCAAAGCAGAATCACCTTAAAATTACACTCACCTTAATATCAGAAATTTGAGCGAAAACGAGGTTTGTCAAAGCTTCGCCAATAGTCATCCTAGCGCCACAGCCTGGGTCGATGAGGCCTTTGATTGGTTGCTCGCCAATGGCAGTGGCGGCACCTACGGTATCAAACATAGATAAAGCGGTGACCGCAACGTCTGCAACGGGAGTATGCAGCGGACCAACACATTGCTGTTGAGCAATTAGGCCGGTAACACAACGGTCCACCTGAAATAAAAATAAATAGAATGAACCAACCACAACACATCACGAGGGAGAAAATTATTCCTTCGCTTAATGGAATCGAAACACCTTACAGCCTCGCTTGATATATCGCTTCAACTGCTCTAAAAGTTGACACCGATATTGGTGTGGTAAATTTCTAGGACAAGATGGACAAACTTTTCATCATTCAAAAATTAAGTAAATTCAATTTACGAATATTAATGAAAACAAGCAGATAAATATGTTGAGACTACCAGTTCATGCAATTAAAACTACATTTTATGTGCTTCAAAAAACTTTGTTTATAGGCTACTAAACTGCACGCCGAAGTCAGAGAATTACCCGTTTTTGTCTCAAAATCATTCGCAAGGCTTTGGTGACAGTCTGCAAAGAACGGGTACTGGGGACAAATGCTAAAAATGGATACCAGGTACAAAAGAAACATATGAAACAAGTTTATTGCCTTTTGGAGGCAAGAACACCTGACTTGTTTACATCATTTTTCATTCAAAAAAGCAGTAATTACACAATTTCATGGAAAGCAAGCTTTACGAGCACCAAGGAAATACCATGTTTGAAACAGATGCAAATCAAACATGACTACATAAAGCCACAAGCTTGAATGCAGCAGTAAGATTATCAGAAGTCAATGGGAGAGCTTTTTGGCAAAATCGTAATTGAAAGGAATTTTAGCCATAAAGAAAACTTTAAATTACGATTCTCCAAGGAATATTTCAAACCACATATAAAATCTATCAAGAATTATTGATATATAAACAAATAAATCTTTGGTACTTCAAAAGTTGAAGATGGCACGAAATAGCAGAAACAAAGCATATTAAATACATTTCGTCTAACACTATTTAGGGTATAAACGTCGGATAGTGACCGAAAGTAAACAGAAAATTAATATCAAGGTGTGATACACAAAACTGTGCATATAGCTCAAAAACTCTAAAAAGTTTAACAAAGAATCTTATAAAAGATTAGTGAAGTAGCATAATCGTGATTCTCTCCAGAGATATCCCAAGGAAAATATTCTAGAATCAGGCCTCTGACCATTCAGTAAAAAAAGAGTGATACTCAAGAACTTCAAAACAAAATATTTTCACGAAGGGTAAAGAGGAATGCACAAAATACTAGCCTTGTTGGTCAGATACCGCTTACTTGCAACGCTTGGGAGCCGGAGGACTCTATCAAGAGCTTCAGTGACTGTCAGGTTTTGTGGAAGTTGAAGCTTTGACAAGGGGGATTCGCTTCTGGCCAATTGAAATTTCTGGAATTAAATGCATTTATAATCAATAAGAAATCATCTACTCTGATTTTGGAAAGCGCAGCTTAAGAATGAAACTGATAACCAGCACGGCGACAAGAGAGACATCTTGTTTAAGTTTTATTTCGATATGGGAAAAATACAAGGATCATATGGAAACAGAACTAAAACAAGATGTTTTTCTTTGACGAAGTGCTGGTTATCAGTGTCATTATCCACGCTGTAGTTAAGAATGAAAGTGAATATCAGTGAATACCATAAAAAATTTACTTGCAAGATACTTCACTTGATTTGAAACACCTTGATTGATTTAAGTAGCTTAACAAATAGCATATACCTTGCTTTTCAAACACAAAAATTCTTCTCAGAATTAGCCAATCGTTCCGAAGGCAAATCCGGGAAAAATGATATATCCTAATAGCGGCATTTGATAAGTAAAAAGCAGTCAATCACATTTTGAATAACATAACAAAACGATTTAGATGCGTTTACTGTCCTTTTAGCACGAGCATACCCTACAAGCATCTACTTTTGCGGATCATCCAGTCATTCAAGACAATATCATGTAAGAGCAACGTCATTAGAAAATGCTTACCTTTCGAGGAAACGAATCAAACAAAACGTCTAAAGGAAGATCGACTGGATACCCCTGTTTCAGTCTCTTGGAGGCTGGCTCTTCATGACCATTCGAGATCTCGTCCCCAAACTTAGAGCCATTCTGTTCTGCAGGTTTGGAATCATCCAATATGATTCGACCATCCCCTATAACATAAAGAATGAGCTTAACTTTGCCTATTTCGATCCTTGAGCTCACACTACAGTGAAAAGGTGAATATGGTAAAATTCAAACTAAGCCTACCACTCTATTCTTGTAATATCATGTAATATTCTTGATTATTAAGTCAAGTTTTATATAACTAAAACTTGATTGAAAATATGGTGGCTCCATTTCTCATCTTCATAACGAAAGTAGTCTCTTCCTACCTGTGATAGTCCCAACGAAGGAGACTCCAACTTTCTCTCTTTCTGCAATTTTCTTTAACAACTGAACATCTTGTTTCTTTATAAGAACGGCGTCACTCTCTTGGTACTCCGCACCCCAGAGCTCCAATGTAGAGATAGTCGGGTCTCCTAAAGTGAAATCTTTGCTTCGTATGACAGCACCGGCTGGGTATGCGATTTCTTTGAGCACGTTTCCTGTCAATAAAATAGGTAAGATAAAAGAAAAGTGGGACTTATGAAAATAAAGATTTTGTCTATGGTCCACATAAAAATTGAGTTGGACACCCCTGACGAAGACACATCATTGCTGTTTCTAAGAGATACTTACCTCCTTCTTCATCTCTAACTTCAACCATTTAAATTTAATAGCAAGAACACTAGCAAAATCATCTTTCAATTGTTTATTTAGCATTTGAAATTCCTTTTTCCTTCTCCTAAAAATGGTTTAAACGGGTTCTTTTTATTATCTCTGACCGTTGTACTCTGAAAAAACGCGCTATCTAGAGATTCTTGAAAAGTAAAGAAATTGCTATGTAGGGACGATTTTCCTTTTCTTAAGTCTCTCAGTCGGATCTAGATTGGAAGAGTAGTACCCGCCCTGAGAAAAAGCAGTTCTTATGCTAGATTATAATTTGATGGAAGGATTAACCTCTTGAAATTTCGAAATTATACTTAAATATATAAATGCATCGAGGGGAATAACTGATACACATTGCGTTCCCAGTGTAGGCAAAGTATAGTCTATCATCACTTCAAGGTTACACTTAAAAATATTACCGTTTCCACCAGCACCCTGATCATGAATGCTACAAATAGGATTTTCATCTACCATCTCCACGCAGGCGCGAATGACTCGATTCAATTTCTGCTCCATCTCAGCATCACCTCTTTGCACAGCGCCAAAGTCCAGTTCCGCTGCGTTGTCGCCTTGCACCTTAACAGAAGATGCAGCTCCACCGCCAACTCCAATGCGATATACAGGTCCGCCAATTTTTACAACTTCCATTCCTACGAAAAACATGTCAATAAAAGATGAGGCAGCTTCTGCATTTCAATAAAAAGCATTTATGAATGACAGAGTTCTAAAATGATGAGGTCACAAAAATAAATGTTTAAAATTTTTGAATTTGGATCCCGGATTCTGAAAGGGCATCATGAAATACCTCTAAAGGTATACAATCAGTCAAATGTATTTCGAATTGGCTGAAATATAGCCACATGTGCACTCGCTTTTCCTCCATAAAACCTCTGTAATTTCGTCTCAAACCTCAAGAACTTTATGAACAGGACGAAAACAACAGTGATTCGTAAGCCAACTTCAAATCTTTCATTGGCCAAATCTCACCCGATTTTAGACATATTTGACTGATCATGCATAATTAGAAGTATTTTGTGGTGTTCTTTTATGCTACATGGTTAAAATTCAAAAATTCTTTAAAGTTTTTTTGACGTCACACTTTAGAACTCTATTCGTAGTTTACTCGACTTAAATAGCGCTACATTCGAAAACTAATTGGTCGTGTAGCAGTAAGGAGGCGAAAATAAAAAAAAAGGAAAAAGAAAATATCTCAATGTACAGAGGTGGCAAAACAAATTATAGTTAAAAAATCTTCATTAAAAACTATCCTACGACAAATATTGCTCTCTGGTCAGTCAGCTCGTGAACAATGGCTATCCCCTTCCCCATCATCTGTTGTATGAGCAGAAGAGATTTTGGTGTAGCATTTGAAATTATTTTTGTTTTTGTGGTTGGTGATGTTAGGGAAAGGCAGCGGTGCCAATAGCGAAGCCTTAACAAGGGGAAGACGACAGGGGTTTGGAAGAAAGAAAGGAAAAATCAAAACATGCGATTTTAATATCGGGCAGCACTTACAAGAAAACCCAGATTGTGCAAAAACTATAATGGCGACATGTTTCAGATTTTTGGTAGAGCCCTATCATCTTTCCATTTAGCAGTTTTGTTGAATCTACATTGGCAGAGCCCTATCTATATAAACATGAAAAAGCCACTATTATGTAGACAAAAGGAGTTCGTTTTCACTTTAGAACTCAGTTGGTAACATTTTCAATAAGCAAGCAGCACTGATTGGGCAACCTCAACAGTAATGTGCTCGCGTTTCTATTTGGCCTATTTCGATCCACCTTCAAAATGTTTGCTTTTATATAAACCATTTTTAAATTCTGTACCACAAAAAAATTCTTTCGAGAGGAACCCAAGTTTTTCAGACGATTGTTTATCAATAGAAGAAATACGAGGTTTCAAATTCAGGCTGGATGATACGGGAAGGCCTAGTATTGAAAGTAGAAATATCCAAATAAACACCATTCATGGAAACAAGGACTAAGTTACGTTTGCGTATGCGTGAAACCAAACAATGGTCAATGTAACAGAACTGCTTATATATTTCAAAAATGAAAATTCGAAATGACCAAAAAATTACCTTTTGATGGTTCTTCTTTCTTAAGGTGTTCATCCTCAATGCTCCCGATTCCTCCACTGAACATGATCGGCTTAATCCACTCTCGTCTCTCGTTGTTTGGAAGCTTCAGACCAAACGACCGGGCGAAACCGAGAATAACTGGCTCACCAAATTTGTTCCCATAGTCTGAAGCTCCGTTACTTGCCTCGATAGCAATTTGAAGTGGTGGCGCAAAGTTCCCTGGGTATTCGAAGTCTGCGTCCTCCCAGGGAAGATGATACCCTAGATGAGTGTGATGAAGGATTCATAAATAGCCAAAATTTAATAGCAAAGGAAAAAACAACTAGGATAAAGCTTAGAACGCAACTTTGTTGAGAAAGAGCGCTTGGATTTCTGTGAGATGCATGTATCGTAATAAGTGCATATGGTTTCAGTCATGACAAACAAGTCAGTAATTGTACCTTGCACCTTTAATGGAAATCAATCAATAAGACGAATAACGTTCTGGTGCATAAAACAGGCCGGTTCTGAATTGCTATTTCACCCGTTATGTGATCTTCAGGCGTCTGTTTTTAAACTCATTATGTCTAATGTAAGTCAATATAATGAACATTTACTAAAACCAGAGGTTTGCAATTTTTAAAAAAAAATTTGGACTTATTGACCAGGTAGGCATTAAGATTGGTTAAATAAGTTCAAAAATGCTATGACATATTGGTTTTAACGCAACAGATGTCCACTCTCTCTTGTTCACAGCTCCAAATCAGCCTATACTTTGGCAAGCCAAATAGGAAATATTTTGGCACATTTTTTAACACATCAATCAGATACCATCCACAGACTTGCAAAATGTTCGCTTAATATGAAGAAAACCATGTAACAGCAGTGATGTAAGAATTAGCACACCTGGTATATTAAGATTCCCGAAACAGTATCCTGCACTGCCTGCAACTACATGTGCTCCCCTTCCAGTTGCATGATTGTCTCTTATTCGACCACCTGTTCCAGTAGTTGCACCAGGAAAGGGCGCAACACCTATAAACAAAGGTTAAACCCATGAAAAACTTTGAAGATAACTTTAAAGAAGCTTGTTATTTTCTAAAAAGATCTTTAGCAAGCAAAAATCAAGATGAGGAGATAAATCAAAGTAAACCTTTTCTCCTATTTACTTACTAACTGATGTTATGTTTAAGGTTAATTTGAGTTTAAGGTTACACTAAAAGTAGCCCATCTATTCTTCTCCAAATAATTCTTCTAGGGTTACGGTTTTCTTTATTGATACAAACTATGCCAATGTTTTTCATGTGAATGGGATATTTCTTTCAATGGTCCAGTGTATTGTTGTGTAGGCATTTCTTACCAAATCAAATTCTAAAAAACAACTTCAGCTACAGGCTTTCTCTAACACTTAAGTTTTACCCAAAAATTTATGATTTACAAAAAGTAACTAGCTTTGTTTTCATTTTAAGATGCACAAAACCATTATTATTTGAAATTGATGAAAAGATAACAAAGCCAATGGAAATGATTTATCAAAATGTTTGTGTGCTTTTAATATAATATACCTGTTGGGAAATTGTGTGTCTCAGCTGTCAATGTAAAGTGTCTTTTCCTTTTTGCGTCCACAACAAATGGACTTGCTTCTGATGAGTTAGTTGCTCTGAGTGCTCTCACTTCATAACCTTCAATTGCACTGTAAAAAAATCCAAGTAGAGATCTCATCTCATAGTATTTAATCATATTTTTTCAATAACCCATTAATATGCACACCTGATTAAAATTTTTCTGGTCAAATACACTTATTTGAAAAAAGCATCCATGGTTAATGGAGAATTTAGCAAGTCAAATCAAACCTTAAAACATATCTTCAATAACTTGCTTCACATTTAGCATAAATTCCTTTTTAAAATGCTAGAAGACAATCTAGTTCAACTATTGCAGACTTGGGCCTTGCACAGACCCATCATGTTTCAATTTTGAAAATGAGTGAGTATTTTGAAAAGGAAAGGGTCTTCATGGGTGGGTCTTAATCGATCTAGAACAAATCCTGACCATCACACAGGGAAAGCAGGGCCACAGGGCATAGCCCCAGAAACTTTTTGCCACCCTCTCATGTTCTTCAGAAACACCTTTTTTTAATAAGGGAACGCAGAAGCGGCAGGAGAATTAAGGGGGTTTTGTTTTTTGCCATTTTATTCAGTTTTTATTGAGAAAGAATTTATAAAAGTACATAATCATTAAATGATTTATGCACTTGCTTTGTGCAAATGATTTCAAAAGCGCACAGCGGAAGGAATGTAGGTTAGAGATTATGCTCCTCCTGTACATAATGTGTAATAGTCGCAATAGAGCTAACCTGTTATTTGCCTAAAATGTGTGTGACTTGGTAGGTCTGCTTGCAAGGAGAGCCTTTGGGCTCCACAGGTAGCTAAAAAGTTACCCTTTCCATGTATGATAGGGTGAATATCAATGGGAAATGACCCTGCACCCCCCCCCCCCTTATATAGAACTAGCTACAAACTAATTACAAAAACAATTTTCTAAAAATATGAATCAGATTTTTGGCAAATCCCTTCCCAAAAACAAAATTGCTATCAGTGAGTAGTGAGGCTTCAAATATTTCCTCGAAAAGGGTTTTGTTAACAAAAGAATGTTGAGAATCAAAAGAGAAAGATAACATTAGATAAGTGTAATCACAAACACTGGTTAATGGTGGAAGTTAATAAATCACTTATGAGAAGGATGAAGAAAACAGGAGACATCAGAACCCTGTGTGACAACACCATTAATGGTGTGAGGACCTGGAAAGTGGCCATAAACACTTAAATGTCTTCAGAGAAAGCTGTCAATCCAATTTGTGACAATGTGACCACAAAGTTTTCTAGGTTCTGCTCTGCTATTCTATTCATCTGCTTTTATTGGCCAATCTTGGCAACCCACTTGAGGCACATGTAACTAAATGTAGGAAATTATAGCTACGGATGACATTTTTTTATCAAATAACTTACACTGTTTGTCCCTTTACTATATGACCGGTCACGCTGTCCATCCAACAACCCTCTCAACAGTTACACTCCTGTTGGTGGTGTTAGGGGTGTACCGGATGAGGATTTTCAGAATCCGGCCGGAACCGGATTTAACATATTTCTTTGTGGAATATCCGGCCGGATTTTACCAGATAATCTGGCCATTTAAGGATTTTTCAGTAATAAAAAGTTTTGAGCCACTTTGCGAAAAAATGTATAGTGAGAAAAGCAAAGAGACCCATTCAGGGTTGCCAGATTGAATTTACAAACAAAGGCTAGACTGGTGAGCAATTTAAGCCAAAATGCTCATAAAAAGGCCAAATCAAAAACTTTTGCAAGAATCCATCAAGCAGGCACTGGTTATATTTCTACGCTTGTGCCTGTTAGATAATTTCTTAACTTAGATAAGAATCTTACTTTTTTCCAAAACCTTTTGCTAATATCAAGATAATATTTAGGTTAGGTGATGTAATTTGAAATTTGGTTAACACTTTGTAGTTAACTACTAATTATTCCATGAATGTAGTAATTACTCATTAATTTTAGACGTTCTGCTGAAAAGGCCAACAAGGTCAGATTTAAGAAGTAAGCAAAAAAGCAATTTTTCCAGGCAATCTAAATCTAAAAACCAAAAATGAAAAATTTGGCCTAAAAAGCCTATCTGGCAACATTGGACCAAATTTGTGAATTATATCATCCAGTTGTCCTGTTTCGTGATGACGAGCACTTTCATTTCAAATCTGTTTTCAAGGCGCTTGTTTTATGGTCGATCTTGTTTAGTTCTGGAATATCCGGCAACCGGCCCGGACTTCGGAAACGAATCTGGCCGGAACCGGATTTTCAAAAAATCAGCGATCCGGCGCCGGATTATCCGGCCTACCGGATATCCGGTACATCCCTAGTTGGTGTACAGTTAGTGGGTAGACAAAATTTTATAGTACTTAAAAATTTTTAGCCTTGAAAACTGCTTCTGCAAAATGCTTGTCTATCTTTGCTGCATTATTGAAAATTTTCTTAAAAGTAATGTGCTCCCCTCAAAGTGTACCTCTGCTTTGATGTGACCAGGCTAAAGGCACCATTAATTGGAACCAGAAACATCTGCTTGTCCCAAGTGCACTAGCAAGGTGGTGAATATAATGTCTCTGGTGCGACAGTGACATACCCTCCATACTTGCCTGCAACTGCAGGGATCTCAAGGATAAGGCAGCGTTCACACAACACCAGATAACTTTTGATGCCAATAAAAAGTTTTACGGATAGATCGCATTTACGCGGTACCGTACAACTTTGGATACGGATAGACTTTCTGTTAAACAAGGGTATGGATACAGCAGATTTTTCAAAACAAATGGCTTCAGTTCAAGACAAAGATTTATGAAACTCTCCTTCAAAACCAATGAAATTCCTCACATTCACAATTCCTTCTTCTGGCACAATATCATTGATAAAATTATCCCACCAACTTTTTTATCCAGACCTTTGCTGAAATTTACGCACACTTCTCTTCGTAAATCCTTTTTTAAGAATTTTTCTGATGTGCTGGATCCTTGAAGTGCTCTAATCAATAACAGAAAATAATATAGCACTGAGTGATGTGAGCTCTGCTATGAATAGCAAAACTTATCGCTAAAATCTAAGCCTAATTGTGCCAAAATCACTGCCTTGCTATGAATCTGTAACAAAACTTACCTGGACAGTGCTGTCGGAACAAAATTCATATTTGGGGGGCTGTCCATTGCTTTCTTTCTCATTCATTCCAATGTTTTAAAGGAAACACACTACAGTTTGACAATTATTGCCCCCCCCCCCCCCCCCGCTCCGACAAGCCTGCTGGATAGTCCCTGGCGATCATCTAGCTAGTAGGATCCAAAGTTGTACTGCTAAACAAAGCAATTTTGATATTTTGATATGGATAGCCCAGTACTTGCGTGAATGGAAAGCCTATCCAAATAACTTTCTATCCGAATCAAATGTTATCTGGCATGGTGTAAACGCAGCCTAAAAGAAAATAAGTAGGCCTATGAATAAAATCCAGATTACCTGCTGTTGTCTGAAAACTTGATGAGATTATTTGCATTTGAGCTCTTTTGAGTATTTATGACCATATTCATTAGGGTATCTGGCATGGAAACAGAATCAATTATCATTTCTCCTTTGAAAAACCAGTGTCTACTGTGTTCACTATTTGACTGTGCTAAATCAAAGCATTCTACATTTGTTGGGTTCCTTTTCAAAATTTCAGCAAAAAGTTTGGTATAATGACCAATATCCATGGAATCAAAAGACAATCCCAGAGCTGAGTTTGCTTTTTCCAAAGCCTGTGAACCTTCTTGTAAAACATCGATCTCGTAACACTCTCCTTTCTGAACTTCGACGTCAAAGTTTTTCAGCGGAAGTTGATACTCACATTCAGTCATTTTATCGTGAAGACCGTCGATAAGTTTCTGCTTAAGTGTCTCATTAACAGGCAAAAATTCCCCGCTGTCTCCTTTTAGCTTCATCAAATATCTTATTGAGAATTCTACTCTTTTCACTGACTTAAGTCCGACTGACCGGCAAATAGAGACAGCATTTGTCGAGAAAGCAGTCGAAAAGTTCAATCTTGGGCCTATCTCGAACACACATACTGTCGCGTCATTTTCACTGCACGAAATCCATGGTTCTGATGATAAGGAATTTTCATGGAAACTTTCCGCTATAATCCATCTCAATCGGTTCATTTCATGTTCCTGAACCACATCGTTCTCGATCTCTATGTAAAAACAGGCTTCTGTGTCAATGTTAACATCGATTGCAGCAGTTACTTTTTTAACTTTTTCTACTGTCCTCTCTAGGTGCATGGAGCTTAAACCCGGCTTTTTGTAAAACTTCAGCATTTTGTGAACCATTTTTACAACCACTGCTATTATTCTGAATACAATCTTGACAGTTTATGGCAAAATATGGATGGCGGCCAATTTAAAGAACCAACCACGTTGTTTATGAAGCGGGAAGTAGTATATACTTCATGTTCCCAACACAATGATGAACAACAACCACCCGAGCACTCCTTCCCATCCACAAAAGGATGAAGAAAAGCAGTTTATCCATCCTGCCCCTACCGCTTCCCATCTAGTTTAGACAATGCAACTTTTGGCAGCTGGGCCTGTCTGTATATAACAAAGCTGAAAGGAGTGAAAGGAGGATTTTTATCGAATGGGTTTGACTTGGAGAGGTTGTTATTCGTGAGGGAAGGATTTACCAGGAGATGTAGGGGGTGCGACATCCATCCACCCACTATTTTTGTATTTTGTAAATTTTGCTTCGATTCGGTCATGTCAATAGAAACAGACGGATTAAGAAAAGTTGCTTTGTTAACCTTTTTATCTTCTTTATCTTAAAGGTAAAAACTGGATATGAAACAAATAATGTTTTTAATCAATCAAGGGGATTGGAAAAACTTTAAATGTTGATTCATGACACATTAGAAAGAGTAGCATCAAGAAAAAAAGAAGAGAACTGTTCAAACATTGCTTTTATTTTATCTTGCTAAAATTAATTCGGCTATACCTTTCATTTCCTGAATATTACCTAAAAAAATTTCCACCATTTAGTATTAACATGGGCTCCGACGCAGGCTGGCCAAGGAAGGTTTTTAACAATCATAGCAACATATTTTTTAAAAACCTCTTTTGTTTTACAAAAATGTGGGAGGCCATGGCCCCTCGACCCCCCTCCGTCCGGGGCCCTAATTAAAGGTTGTTTACGTTTACTTTCAAATGTTTACTTTTTATGGAGTTTTTGGGGATGAGATTTGCTTTTTAAAATGAAATTTCTTGCATCGTGTTGCACTTTAGATTGGCTCCCATTTTTAATGGTAGGGTCTGCTTTGAAGGTTGGGCCTCGTACTTCTAGGGAATATCTTGATATTCAATTTCATGTTTTTTGCGATTCATGGAGAGGTAGATTAAGTCTTCATATGATTTGAAATACAGATAAAAATTGTTTCCCTACACTTAAACGGTTGTTTATTTACTTTTCAAGGCTTAGCATATGCCGAAGTAGGGTTCGACCGAGAAAAGGTACATCTTTTATGATATGATTGCCAATAACAACAGTTTACCAAAGTCGTGCAACAGTTTACCATAGAATACATTACTCGCGAAGGTTTTTCAAAGCGATGACGTAAAATCTAGGAAACCATCAGATTGAACGCAAAAATTCCTCGACGAGCCTTCGATGTGTTTTTTGCATTCAATTGCAATGCTGCAATTGAAATTGCCAGTCGTGTTCAGTTTCAATTCAGCTAAAAAATATGCAAGTAGCTGCCAAGAAAAACAACGTTTTTTTATTCTGTTTTTATAACATTATGCATAGACGAGAAAATACACTCGTACAAAGACCCTTCCATACCAACTACTCGAATAAATGGATGATCCCCGTCCACTTCTAGCTGAGTTTTGTAGTGACGTAACTGATCAAGAAAAAGAATTTGTATTTCACTGTGCATTTTATGTGAATTATTGCAAAGAGATTTATTGCAATGTTGTGATTCTGTTGTAATTGAGAAGAAGAGGTAGGGTTTGCCTGAATACAGGGGCATTTCAAGAAGGGGAGTGATGAACGTGTGTTGACAACAGAACTATTAGAACACTGGCAATTCTTAGATTGATAAAGTTTCTAGTTTCAACTTCGAGTTTGACGTGCAACTATCAAACTGCTATACTACTATCAAACTGAACTAACAGCTACCTAGCAGTAATAATCATTAGTATATTGATGCATGGTGATTTATTATCAAACAAGCTTTTGGTTTTTTAATTATTTTCATGTATATTTAGTCTGTGAATATGCATACTTAGAAAAATTCAATTCAAAGAATGCTTCGTAGGGATTGATTTAAGGGGAAGCTTCTATAGAAATGGAAGGGTCTTCAAGACGGCAATGGACAAAGAATAGGATCATGGTTCGTGGTTTTCCCGTTTAAAAACATAGAGGCTTGTGAAACTCTATCTCTTACAGCCTGGCTACACTGACAGAATACCAATTATCTAACATTACCTAATGCACAAACCCTTTGTTTATAATGTTTTAATTGCAGTTAAATACCACGACTTACATGGATGGCACATGGCAACAGGCTGCAATGTCGATATATTTATCACAAGACTGCGTACTTCTTGCTAAGAGTGAAATACTAAAACTTATACAACGTCTGAAGTAAGTTGTGTCTCTTGTCAGAATACGCATCTAATATGGTGCTTGGCCTAAAAGAAGAAGTAATAGTGATAAAAATAATGGTCAGAAACAAAGCAATAATGGTCAGGACGACGAAAATCCAATGCAGTGAAATAGAATTTTGAATAAACTAAATTTATAAATACTAATATTTCGCCCAGTATTGGGGGCTTCACGTTGAATTATTTCAAAATTCTATTTAACAACATTGGATTCTCGTTGTCGTTTTTCATTGTTCTTGATTATTACTTTGTCTCATATTATTACTCATTGCAAGATTCTGGCAGACAGTATATCTTGCGTTTCTTCTCTCTTATACAATAATAGTGATCAGATGTTTATTTTTACCTTAAAATCTAAAGCTTTGATAGGGTATTGACGTCGTTATCAAGATACTTCAATTAATGACCCCAAAAACTTGGTGTGGTTGGCCAAAATAGCAAGGGATAAAAACTGGAAACACAGAGGTGAATGGTCCTAAGAAAAATCTTGAAATCTGTGAACCTGTCTAAATGCTGTATGTACAATAAGCGATGTGAAAACTGTAAGGCAATAACAGCCATATGGCAGGCTTTCACCCTGTAGTAGAAGATCGCCAGAATCAATTTGAGATAGCTAAGGATAGATTTATAACCGGTGTACCAAAGGCAGACCTGGCAAGAAACCGGCGATCTACTTTCTTGGGAGTTACATGATAAAGATGTTCAAGGCAAGTGAAAATAACTGACCTTGAAATGAAAGCAACAAAGTATTTTGCCATCTGCTTTGGAAAGTAATCCTGTCGAGCTACATGCTCCAGAGCAGTTAATGGTCCAGAGATGTCGGTTGCGACTTCAACTTTCTCTTCACTCTGCAAAGAACATCGCAATTTATGTCAACGGGCAAAAGCGTGTGTGTTTGGGGCCGGTACCACCTTGCAAGACGGCTCAAGATACTTTCGACCAAACCTTTGACAAATACCTGTTCATCTTTCCGCCATTACTTTTATATTTAATCAAGTATTGTGCAACTTTGCATTTTGAAATCAGCTAATGATCCTTTTTAACGTCGCCCTTATTTCTAGTTCTACTGTGAAGGTAGGAAAAAAGGAACGAGGAAAAGTGGTAAGGAAAGAGGGAAACAGGGAGTGAAACAAGGAAAAAGAGGGAAAGGGGGTAAGAGAAAAACAGAGGGGAAAGGGAAGAGGGGAAAGAGAGGGGAAAGAGAGGGGAAAGAGAAGGGAAAGAGAGGGTAAGGAGAGGGGAAAAAGAGGGGGAAGAAAGGGGAAAGAAAGAAAGGGGGGAGAAAAAGGGAAGAAAGGAGGATTAAAAAGAGTGGAAACAGATGGAGAACGGAAGGGAAACGATTCGCAGGCTGTAATAGAAGTAGGAGATTTGTCATTATGAAAAAAGATAATTGACCAGTTTCAAGTTGAAATGAATTTTTGCTTGCATTAACAGGGGATACGAATAAAACTGAATATGAATGACGGACTTTGGAAGAAACAAATTCTCTGCAGATCCATAATTTCTTGTTTTTGGAGGTGTTTTATTCAGTACCTTTCAGTAAGTAGCCGGTAGTTTTCTTAACTTTTATATATTTAAATAAAATTGGATTTATCACTGAATAATAATTGGGAAAGAACTAAAGATGAACAATGGGCTACTAGAATACGAAGCATTACTTGACCAACAATGAGTTGAGTACATGAAGCAAGGAATCTCAGCAAACTAGCAGCCTGAAGACTGGTGCATTGTTAATCTTGCTTGTATAGCTAGAGAAAACTATGTTTGCAGAATTTAAAACAAGGGACAAACGATCTGAGTCTTCACAACACTTTTAATGGAATAAAATGATAATCATCGGACTTCACCTTTAAGAGTCCCATGTAAACAAGTAATGAATTGACCAAGGCTTTTTGCTTTGCATCGTCTTTCTTAAATGCTTCTTCAAGGATCGCATCTGAAAGACAAAATAGATTACAAAAATTAAGGTTAGCATCTTAAATGAAAATCTCAAAGTCTGGGCATACCTGGCTTCTGGCATCAAGGAAAAACAATAGGTACCAGTAGAATAGGTTTGAATCAGATTGGGGGGGGGGAGGAAGGGGATTGAGTAAGGTAATGTTTAGAAGTTCTAGAGACCACAAGAAAGTTTATTGCATATTTGCATATTTGGCTGTAAGTATTCTAAACTTCTTCATGCCTGATAAAAATGTAGCATTCGAAAGCTTAACATAATATCCAGAACAACTAAACTAGTTTTCACAAAGCAAGGAAAGTTACCAATACAACTTGGCGTTCAAGCCGTTTTAGACATGCTTGAAAAAGAGTGCGAAAGTGTGACATCGTTGACTTTTGACCACAAAACCTGGTCAAATTCTCAACACCATCGATATCATTACGAGTCCTCGGAGCCGGCTCTAAATAGAACTCGGTAGTCATTATTGACTCTTTTTATAAAAATTGAAATTTTACATAGTATTTTAAAAAGGGAGCTGTACGACCATCCAGTTACATCTTGCTGACACCGTTTTCAGAAAGTGCCTATATTTAAATCCAGTTTACAGCAGTTGCAAAGCACCAAGATAAATGTATAGAGACTAATTCAAATTTAAGGGGTGTAGAACAGGGTCCTTGTGTTGTACATATCAACACGCTAAACATTTATCTGTCTGTATATTTATATGCAATTTGGTGTATAGAACAGGACGGTTCCTAGTTGCTACTCCGTGTTTCGCGCCTAATGCGAGCATCAGGCAAAACCATCTTGTTCTATACATCAACAGCGTGTACACCTCTTCCCAAACAGTATCGAGCATTTATGACAGACGGGTAAAAAATTACTATATTATGTAGATTTATAAATAGCTTACCCGAGACCACGCCTAGGCCATCTTTGTCATCTTTCAAAGCAACTGAAGCCTAAATTCAATAGTCAATGAAACCATTAAAGACAGAATAAATATAAGAAATTAAGAGTAATCAATTAGAAAATACAGGCGAAACTATGGATAGATAGAGAGACAATGCACCTAACACTTAACTACAAAATGAAAAATCTGAAACCATAATTCGATGATATTTCACACATAAAAGACCTTTAGATAATAAATCTACTAGATTTTCAATTGCGAAATATAAGACATTTAAAAGACAACTGATTACCTTAACAAATAGTTTTGCAGTTCTCCATGTGTTATCTGAATATTCCTAGGAAAGATTAGTATCAATGAATTAAATGATGAGAAAGTTCAGATACATTATCAAGCAGCGATAGAAGCACAAACGAAATGGCTAAAAAAAGGAAAGAACTTCACAAACCTTCATAGCGTCTTTAATGAGAGATCTCCTTTGATTCTGCGGTATATTCGAAAGCGTTTTTAGAGAAGGGTTTCCCAGGAAATTCTTGGCGTCTTCGAGTGTAGCAGTCTGCGGAAATGGGATTATTGACTAAATACTTCGAATACTATGTTTCAAAACGTTAAGCTGTGGCTAAGGTTCCATTTGATTTGATGATACTCCGAGAACATTGCAACGAACAGAAAATGCTTTTTCTACCTTGAGAACAAGAACAAGATAATGAACTGACTCACGTCAAACCACAAAACCACAAGTATAATGCTTAAAACCACAAGTATAATGCCAATACTTTCTAAGAGCATCTAAGATAAAGTACTCTGTTTTTACATTCTCTTTGTAAAGAATTGCGCAAAAGGAAAGGAAGTACATCAAAATAATTGTGTTACAACACAAGGCAATATAAGTGAAAAATGAAAAGGCTGTGAAAATGTATCGCCATAAACTTACGGCAATTTGCGCATCATCTTTGAGCTGCTTCGAATCGGGTGAAAGCCCAATTCCTTTAATTTCCAATTCCAGGTCGTCACCACACGTGTCTCTTGAGACGACCACTTCCTCTCCTTCTTCTTCTTCATCATCTACCGGTTCATCTTCTTCTTCTGAATCAGGTTCTTCATTTTCTTCAAACGGAGCAAGTATATTTTTTTTCCCATAGGACGTCATTTTCTCTATGACGTCATCAACGCTGTCACCCAGTTGATTCCCTAGATTACGATTTAGATCAAAGTAAGATTTTCTTGTCGCATAGTCTTTTTGTAGGCACAAAAAGTCTTTATAACCTGACAACGCGAGCATGATTTACAAAATGATACGCTGAACTATGACATGATCTGGTTGAAACTGGCTAATGGAAAACAGCAACAAGGTCATCCAGGGACATCGAATGTGGGGCTAAGGAGGGCTGCAGCCCCCCTCTCCCCTAATAATTGCCAAACGATGTTTTATTGCCTTTACAAGAAAGAACTGAGTGTGAAGCAACAGATGCCTTAGTTTTCTTTTTGTCCTTCCAACCAGTTTCGCTTCGACGACACTTAATAAGTGTGATGTTAAATAATTCACAAGAAAAGCACTGCACTATTAAAATTTCGAAGTCATTTAAATGTCAAACTCACCATCCAAGTTTAAAAGTTTGATATTGTTTCGATGCCCAATTGCATCAACTACGGCCATTGCTCCGTCTAATCTGATTTCATTCCCGTACAGAATTATTTCCTAAGCATAAATACGACTTTCATTAATCCAAACATTGAACTCGAGAAGGCAAGTTTATTGATGGTATATAGGAAAGAAAAACGACGAGATTCAAAAGCACTGGACTCGCAAAAATCGGAGAAATCAGTGTTATCATTTAGCCATTAGAAATCTTAAACTGGAGAAAAGGATATAATTCAAATGTCGAAATGTCAAAAAAGATACCTCCAATGCTGTTGCTCCTCTCTTAAACGCAGTTGCGATCGCCATGGCACCTTTGTTTCTAACGAGGGTATCGCCAAGATTCAATACTTTCAAGGTATTCATATCAGGAAGGACCTTAGAAAGGAAGGGCAAAGTTATCTCTCAATCTCGACAAGGTTAGGGTTTCTCTACACATTTTAAAACAGCATTTTCTCCAAATCTGGATACCGTTAGGTCTTGACCAAACGCGAAATGCCAATGGACTGTTTTGAATAATTTCGAAAATTATACATTTATGATTCAATTGTTTATTAGAGACTGTATTACAAATTTGTATAGGGATTGTGTGAGGTAATTTGTGCACGTGGCAGAAGCTTTATCCTGCATGCTTATAGCGTTTTCAAGCATCTCTGAGCGTTTTCGCAGATAGAAAAAAAGTACGGTGCCAATGAAAAGATCAAAAACTTATTAGAGGCATTAAAGTAATATACAACAGTGACATTAGATGACATAGTGCCAACCTTTAAAAACCAAATCTGAAGAGTAATTATTGATTTGAAAAGAACGAGAAGAACATGAGATATCACGCTTAAACATCAAATGTAGTTCTTATAACCCAATTCGTAAAAAGTCGTGCAAAAGGTTACCTTAGCCAGACTCAAAGCTCCCCGAGTTCCAAAAGTGTTGTCGTTTAAATTCGCCACCTAGATACGAATAAAACAAACACTGACTCTCCATTTCTAAGTTTATGGAATTTCAGAAATTTAGTTCAACACACAAGTGTTATGAAGTCAGATTACATAAAATTATGGTATTTTGTAGCGAAAAATAGTAATAAAATTTTGAACATTTCAGGTAGTTTATCGTGAAACCTGTGATAAAATCTTGTGCTGGTGATTGAAAAACTTATTTTTTCTTGGAACTTGGAATTTTTTAATCTGAAATAAATCTGAAATGTTCAAAGCGAAAAAGTGTACGCAAGAGAGGCTAGGAGACCCTGATTTATCCACCTGATGTCCTGAGTTGTTGAAAGATATTAAGCAAACAGTGAGGATGGCTAAATATATATAGCTTAAGAAGAAATAGCTTGATATGTCCTATAGGGGCGAGCCTGGGTGTCGTAAAAAGTTTTGACTAAATAACAAGCAGGTTAGAGAATCTAGGGGCGAATCTGGGTGTCGTAAAGAGTTTTGACTAAATAACAAGCAGGTTAGAGAATATAGGGGCGAATCTGGGTGTCGTAAAGAGTTTTAACTAAATAACAAGCAGGTTAGAGAATATAGGGGCGAGCCTGGGTGTCGTAAAGAGTTTTGACTAAATAACAAGCAGGTTAGAGAATAAAGGGGCGAATCTGGGTGTCGTAAAGAGTTTTGACTAAATAACAAGCAGGTTAGAGAATATAGGGTCGAGCCTGGGTGTCGTAAAGAGTTTTGACTAAATAACAAGCAGGTTAGAGAATAAAGGGGCGAATCTGGGTGTCGTAAAGAGTTTTGACTAAATAACAAGCAGGTTAGAGAATATAGGGTCGAGCCTGGGTTTCGTAAAGAGTTTTGACTAAATAACAAGCAGGTTAGAGAATAAAGGGGCGAGTCTGGGTGTCGTAAAGAGTTTTGACTAAATAACAAGCAGGTTAGAGAATATAGGGTCGAGCCTGGGTGTCGTAAAGAGTTTTGACTAAATAACAAGCAGGTTAGAGAATATAGGGTCGAGCCTGGGTGTCGTAAAGAGTTTTGACTAAATAACAAGCAGGTTAGAGAATATAGGGTCGAGCCTGGGTGTCGTAAAGAGTTTTGACTAAATAACAAGCAGGTTAGAGAATATAGGGTCGAGCCTGGGTGTCGTAAAGAGTTTTGACTAAATAACAAGCAGGTTAGAGAATATAGGGGCGAGCCTGGGTGTCGTAAAGAGTTTTGACTAAATAACAAGCAGGTTAGAGAATATAGGGTCGAGCCTGGGTGTCGTAAAGAGTTTTGACTAAATAACAAGCAGGTTAGAGAATATAGGGGCGAGCCTGGGTGTCGTAAAGAGTTTTGACTAAATAACAAGCAGGTTAGAGAATATAGGGTCGAGCCTGGGTGTCGTAAAGAGTTTTGACTAAATAACAAGCAGGTTAGATAATACACTGATAAATTTGGTCGACATTCACCCAGACTGAAACAATGATGCAAAAAGCATAATAAAATTCGATTCACAAAGCCCAGCAATTCACGGAACAGAAATATTCATTGCAAAAGAATAATGTTGAAGTTTTACAGAAGCTTATAAATTACCTTCAAGTTTTGATTGTGTGAAAAAGATTCGACCAGCGCAGTAATACCAGGATGATGTATTCCATTTTGTGGCATCTGGATTACTTCCAAACTTTTCAGTGTCTGAGCGAAAAGGCAGTACTGTTGTTAGGAGCAAACATATCTTATATTCAGTCACATTATAGATCCATTCTAGGCATTTACCAAGATTCAAATTCAAATGATATAACTGCTGTTTTGACTGGCTTTTGAAATGATTTTTTTCATTTTTTATTACAATCGACATTTTATTACAATTTTATTAAAAAATTTTGAAGTGAAGAATTTTAAATGGAATAGATTTTTAGCAATTAGATTATAAATAAAGTGGGTTCTAAGGTTTACAATTTAAATTCAATGAATGAAATGCTACAAACAATTTCTCACCTTGAAAACTTCAGACATAGCAATTGCACCTTCATTTTCTAAGCGATTTCTGCCTGATATAAAAACTTTTAGTTGCAGCGGGGTCCCGGCATCAACACTTGATTTGTGGCATTGCAGCAGAGCCTCAGACAAAATCTATGATTAAAATATCAAATACTTGAAATAAGACATCATGTAAACATGTAAACATTCATGCTGAAATTTTGCTGTCAACTTAGATCCAAAGAAATGTAACCTGTAAACTGTTAAGCATTTTAACGACAGCAATCAAACACATGATAAATTGCAACATAGATTAAAATATGGAAACTCTTGGAACAAGATCACATAATAAGAAAAATTTTTTTGTTGATTTTCAAAACTAAAAGAGCTATGGGTGATCATTATCAAGGTCTAGTGCAATAGCTTGGATTAAAATCATGGGATAGATTTAAAATGTGTTGATTATTATTTCAATAAAGATATATCCTTTATATGTTCACTAATCAGATTGATTTGAAGCCAGCTGATGGCAATTCTCTGACATGCAAAATTTTCTCCAAGTTCAAATAAGTTGAAGAATTGAAGTTTTTGATCTCTTTTTAGTAACTTTGTGTGGCACAGTCTGCTTGAGGACATTGTCAAGACCATATCAACAAAACCAAAGTGATATTCATAGAAATTTGTATCAACTATCATAAAATGTCAATATGATGATGATCATAACAATGAAGAAACAAATAAAGATAGTGATTTAAATAACAATTGACAAGACGTTAATTGATGACAAATTAGAAAAGACATACCCTGCCTCCTCCAATACCAAGTCCATTGTTATTTAACCTCAATACTTCTAAAGAGTAGCATACAGGGCTCATAAGAAGCTTTTTGATGGCTTTGACTCCATCTGGTCCAAAAGCATTGTCAGAAAGATCAAGCTCTTTGAGTTTAGCACCAGATTCTATCAAAGCATCGCCTAAAGACATCTCAAAAAAGAAACAAAAACATTATTAGAAAATGCCTATTGGCAAAAGTACACAATTTGTGTTTATCACACTATAAACAATTTATGGACTAGATTGCATCATTTAGACCCAATGTACTGCGTAACAGATAAATTTTGACAACATAGCATCTTAATGCCCATAGCATGACCTGCAGCTAAAATCCTAGCTCAGTTAAGCATTTATTGAAGAGTGCAGGAAGTTGCAAACTGTGGCCAATCTAGGAGTTGTGTTCAGTAGCAATTAGGGGACATTGCAATCATAGCAATTAGTCAGCAGTTGGCTTATGCAGACCCTGTGCTGCCAGTAAATTTCTGTTCAAAGCACTGGTGACTCACAAGGTCACCATTCAAGGCCTGAAGCTATTGCAGACAGAACAAGGGAAGCCCTGCCCTTTGCAAAAGAGTAGCTCTTATTTGATTTCCTAGACCTGAGGTTTAACATGTCCGTTCCAGAGTGCTCTGTGCCATATAGAGGTGAATGCTTTGAAATATGTAGAACTGGGCACACAAATGCAAATTTTCTTTTTTTAAAAAATATCTAATATACTTTTGAAGATGTTAACATAAATAAAATCAAGTAAAAACATACCAGTGATGGTGGTATTTCACTCCTGACTCTGCCTGTAAATATGTCACTCCAAAGAGCTCGCTTAAAAAAGGAACAAAAATCAGATTTCAGGAAACCATACTATTCAAAATAGATTAAAAAATAAGCTAAAACCTGTGTTACAGCAGAAGGTAAGTTCTTACAAACTATGTGTGCTAGGCTTAGGTTTTGCAGTTTCAATAAATTTCAAAAAGTTTCCATAGTTTTTATTTTGCAACTTTTTGGCTTTATCAACCTGGCACAAACAGTACAAGTAAACAAATAGGAATTTAAAAGAGTGCAGAATTATTCTTTAAAATGCACTGGAATTGTTCTTTGCTTATTGATGCCATTATAAAACAGACTTTGCAGTACAGCTATGGGTTAATAATCAGTGATATAAACAATATATATATACAAATATGAGAAACCTCAAATGATACCAGCGAACTATCAAAAACCTACCTGAAATTCAGGATGCTTTTGTAATGCAACTGCAATGCTTTTTGCTGCATCAGCTCCAATTGTATTTCCATCTAGTCTTAAGGCATGTACTAATTTTGCATCATTTAAAGCCTTTACTATTGCATCAGCTAAAAAAGAAATAAAAAATGCCTTTAGAAATTGTTAAAATGACAATAATATGGTGAAAAAAAGTCTCCATATTAAAAAAAAGAGGTATAAACTAGTATCAATCCACACATTTGCAAATATTATTTATAATTTCTATGCTCAAGAGTCATTTTAAAGAAGGCTTCATTCTGAATCAATTTTGGTTCCTTCAACTCAACTTTGTACATCTGAGCAAAATTTTAGCCCATTTATCTATATATGCAAAATGATTCGGGTATGGGTTATAAAAGGTATATGGTATATAAAAATTCAACTTTGCCTATTAATAATCTTCTTCAATACTACTTTGGGTTCTGTTGATGTCCTTTCACATCCCCAATCCTACATGTGCCCAGTGCCCCAGGGTTGGAATTTAGAAAATACAGCAACACCCAAATTTTGTAATGGTATGGGAGCTTAATTCCCATTACCAAAATGCTAATTGATGAAAATATCCAACTTTGAAGAACATGCCACAAGTTCTGGCCTGTTTTTTTTTAAAGTTCTGTCAAATGTTCTGTACAGAAGAGATTTACATACAATTTTATTCAAATCTAAATCGCATTTGAATTCTTTTTCGAAGAGAATTGCAGACAAGTTGATCAACAGTAGATAAACAGATCCTGCTTGCTGGAAGCTATGTGTAAGTCAGTACACATTTGATTCTGCAGAAAAGTATCTTCTCATAAACGTAATATATACAGTTTTCGAGAACCTACATCTATCGAGTTGGCATAGAGAATAAAACAATTTACTCTAAACAATGCTATAGGTATTTGCGATTCAATGCCTACTTTCTAGTTTCTAAGACATTTCGTGGGAAGGAAGTTTCTTTAGGTTCTTTTGTCAATTTTAATCTCTAGAAATATACCTTAAAAGTTGCTAAAAACTTATCATGCAAGAATATTTACCATCTTCAGCTTTGTCCAACTTTAATCCTTGGCCTGCAAAGGAGACCTCTTCCAAGGTCAATGACGCCTCTTCCAGTTTTTTTGTAACATCCTCTGTATTATTTTCAGCCATCTTATTAAAATTAGTAAACGGCAATTGCCTAGAGTTCACCTTTAAGGTTAGTAGAGCAGGGCTTGATTATACCCAAAAGTTGTTGCAGAACTAAATTTTACCGCCACAAATCTAATCCTTAAGGTGCCTAGGCCATGTGGATGTTGCGCAAGCGCATCGCTGCTCTTCCGCAAATGAAAATACGGTTGTTGTTGTTTGTTTACCAAATTTACTTGTGTTGATGGGGGGGTGACTGAAATCATAAAGAAGACTGAATTTCCATTTTGAACTAGATATGTGACATAAAGTCTACTGCACTATATTGTCAAATAATTTACGGCACGAAATTATGATTTGGTCTTTTTCGTAAAATTTTCGTAAAATCTACTTTTTACCTGATGTTTTCACATTTTCATAGAAAGTTGATTCCTATTGAAAATATATTAAATTTGAAATACCAAATTCAATAGAAGAAACTAAAATAAATCTTATACTTGATTTATTATAGATGTATAGGGAAAAGATTTACTTCATTTTTCATGTTTATAACCTACCCACATTTTATGGATTACATAGTCTATGTAGTTGCCAAGTTTCAGAGAAGTGAGATGTGTGTGCTAGAGATGCGCAGCAGCACCGTGTAGCTATGAAGGAGCTCAAAGTATTTCTATGGCAACATGATACAGCAAAAGCAGCAGAGGAACACAGGGAGAAAGAACTGCAAGTTGCAAGCCCCATCTAAACATAGGAAAAGACAACTCTCTTAGTTGCATGAAAAAAACTCGAATATTTCACCATTTTAAATAATTGAAGGTTGGAGCGTCTGTCTGTATACAATGAATCCCCATCAAGTACTATGCCTTTGACTGAAAATACCAAAAGTAAATTTAGTCTCAGAATAAACATCCAGTTAAATTCTGGGCTGGGGAGGTAGGCCCCACAAGCCCAATAGGTGTTCTGCCACTGTCTCTTTCAAAGCCTTTACTTTGAAGCCCACACACGATTCAAGTCTGGATGATAGATACAAAACTCTATGTTTCTTTGACTTTCAAATCCAAGGTACAGTCAGTGTCAGTTTTAAAGGGGGTCCAGGAGGGCCATGGCCCCAGGCTCCGCGCTTATGGTAGCAAAAAGGGGCCACACACCTAAGAACAAGGGCCCTGCAGATTTTTTTTACCCCAGGCCCCGCAGTCCCTAAAACTGCCATTGGATACTGTCCCTGCATGACATATTGCACTACTACACAACAAAAGGCTATTTTTCTACTATAAAAAAATGTTCCTTCTTGTCCATTTTGATAACCAGTTTTTAAATTGTCTGAGTTGGTTGTAAACATTTAGAACAAATTATTATTCTAAAAAATCTTAACAGTCTCATGTCAAAACTACCAGAGTGCCAAATTAAAAGGTAAAATAGTCCAAAAATTGGAATTTTTGTATTGAAAGTCATTTCTATCCAACACTCAAAAAGAAAATACCACCCCTTCTAGATTTTAAACATGATGTGCTCTCAATATAATGACTTTCAAAATAATGTTATCTCAAGTTCAATTTCAGATTTGTGACCACCACCATTACTGCCATCATAGTTTGGGTTGAATTTTGATTCTTCCAATAATTTTTTTATTCTTATATTACTGCGCTAATTTTGGCAATCCTCTTAGCCATTTGGAAAAAACTTCAGAAGGAGTTAATCATTAAATTATTAAAACGGGGAAGTCATTGGAGTTGAGGTGTACAATGGCAAGGTACTTCAAGTTATTCTTACTCTAGAGTGTAATCTTGCTTTCATTAAAGCATTCAAAGATAACTTATCTAAATCTATAATTAAATAGGTTGGCAAAGAGTATGCACTTGGCAGACAGGCAGCTTCTTCCTCAAAGCTTAACAAAGTTGATTCAGAAAGATTTTTGAATAGCACTACTATCAGCTGCTAATGGCAACTGCTACCCTTGTTTGCTTTTGTGAGGACACACCAAACTCAAAAGGGCAGAAGATGCCTGTCTATATATTTTGAATTCCAAAAGCATAGCATCTTGCCATACAATTTCTCATTAAACCAGCAATTTAAAGATTCTATTGGTTAAATTAGCTAGTAATGAAGGCCTTCAACTATTTCTACCAATCCATCAACATCATTGGAAGATGTTTCCTTTTTGAAAATTTTATCAAAATATTGTTCATATTTATCACATTGTTCCCCTGGAGCAAAACCAGGCTGCTTCCGTAGCCTGATATTACGCTTCTGAAACATCAAGAAGACTGTATAAAATGTCATTTTGTCAGTTGTAGAAAAAGCTGCTTCAAGGAATTTCCTTGGAGATGCTGAATCTAGTGCATCAGTACCTTCTAAATACCTGACAGCTTGCAATACCTGTTGCTTTGAAAGGTAAAGTTCGATAACATCTTCTCTTGCATTTGGAATCCTTTTCATCATGTCTAGTGCAAGCTGAAAAGCTGGAGGATATTTGCTTTCAATACTTATAAGCAAGGCAGCAAGTTCTTTTGAATCTTTAAGGACGTTGTATTGAAGAAATTGATGCATCTGATGGAACTGTTTTCTTTCCAGAAACTGATTGAGAAGAAGTTCTTGTAAATAAAACTCGATAGGTATCTGGTGGAAATGTAAAGAACGAATGTATTCTACAAGCACAGCCATCATAAACTTTTCATTTGCATGCTTTGAATTTAAGACTTTGGTAAAAACATTATCAAACATGCTTGACTGGTCAATAACAGATTGACTTCTGTACCATTTGTAAAATCCATAAGCATCTTTTGCATTGTCAGCAGGTCCAGCCCCTGTTCTCTCTGCACATACTTGAAGAAACTCGTGATAAACGCTGTTCAGTTTATCAAAGACGACAGCTACTACTCCAAGACTAGCTTGTCTGCCTGGCATGAGCAACTGTATACAGACTGATAACAGTACAGATGAGCTTTCTTCTCTTAATGACAAAAAGTCAACCAGTTGTCCCTTATCATCAATCATATTGACTAAGGATTCAAGCTTTACTCTGACTTGCCAAAGACACCCTAATTTTGCATCTATAACAATGTTTGGCTGGAAAACTATCCAGTTTGGCGAATAAAGATCACATGTTACTTCTGATACCTGAGTTCCTTTGTTACTGTTGATGCTTTGGACAAACTTGCATGGTTGTATTGGCAGAGGAGACAGAACTGGGTAATGGTAAGACACTTGTCCATCATACTCTGCTCCTAACTTTAGATCAAATATCATTGATGTTTTTGAGGCTTGATGGTGAACTACAATTAAGTTGTCAACTACATTCACTGCAAATCTTCCTACAGCCCCAAGTCTTAAAACTGCAGACTTTTTAGCTGGCATCTCTTGTTGTAGCAGGTATAATACCACTTCAGCTCCAGTAGAGTTGAACATCCTAGGCTGATTTCTTAGAATAACTACATAAATCTGTCCATATATATTTGCTAGTGTCACATCTCTAACATGAAGACCAGCTGGCTGTGGGGTTCTAGTTGAAGGCGGATTATCTACTTCAAACTTGGCAAGACGTGATACTGATCCTGGCCTGAAGATGTATGGGTGAATGACATTGCCCATGATGCCAGAGGACAGAAGCAGAACTGAGTTCTCAGCAAGGAAAACAAACCAGTTAACATTTACAGAGAAACTCTTGATGAGTTTTACAGAAGGTTTATCCGACATGATCTGATAAAACTCAATGCCCTGGTTAGTGACAATAACGAGTTCATTTCTGCTCGTCCAAATAAACCCAATAATTTGTGTTGATCTTCCCTTGCAGGACTGGCTATATTCACTTCCAGTTATTTCACCATTTTCAAAGTTCATAAGATCTACACTTTTTAAAGACCTTTGAATGGCCAGGACTCTATGGTCTGGTGAAAACTTTATAGATATTACATGGCCCTTCTCGGGGACCTTGAATTCGATGTTCGAAGCTACACCTGCACCTTTCACTTGAACGCGGTTAAAGTTATCTGCCCTCGATACTGAAAAGACCTCTTTGTTCCCTTCATCAAAAAACACATTGTTATCATCCGTTACTGGCGGGAATTTCAGCGGATTTTCCAGCAATTCCAGGTAGTAGGAAGACATTTTCGCAATCGACAAAAATCAAACACTAGTAAAAAACAGCCTCCCTTCCATGCAAAAGCTCCTCCGCAGGAAGCAGGGGCAATAGGATTATTATCCTATCTATATGAGGGGCAGTTGTTCAGGCCCACTGGTCCCTGCTTTCAAGTTGTGAAACTAAGAATACCTCATTAGGCGTTTGAATTCCAATTCAAAATTTCACAATCGTTCGCAAAAATTTAACGAATACTTTTCCCTCTCATCCAAAATGATGCCCAACGTCCGTCTGATATAGAATACCAAGATAAATTCAAGAAAATGTAAAGGAATGAATATGGTCCCAAATCATGTTCTTCAGCTCCATATCTAGAGAGCTACACCCCAAGGGGAGTGACTCAAATTTTCTACATACGGGGAGACCCAGCCTCAGTTATAAAAATTCACCTAAAAGTATAAAAAACAAATTTAGCAGACCCATAATTTTTAGCTAAAAAGTGTTGATAAAACCCAAAAATATCAAACTTATATTAATAAGATATCAGGGCTGTAAATCTGAAGTGGGGGAGAAGGTCAGCAGAGCGAATTAATAGAAAGTATGCAGTGGGTCATGGCACCACCAAACAATTTAAGGTGTATGTGTTATGGAAACAGTTCAGGGGGCAAATGACTTAAAAAGCAAAAGTCAAGATTTTTGGATTTCTTAAGACTTTCTGGTCTACAGATAATCCTTAGTACATTGAACATGATTGTAATTGTTTTATGATTGGATGGACACCATTTTTGAAAAGAGGGCCCCACGAAATTGAACCTTGGGAGCTAAGAATCAAGTTTAGTGATGTAGGAGGACCCATCATGGTTGGGTCCGACGGGGAAGAAAATTTTTGAAATTATACTTTCTAGAAAGGCTAAAAAAGCATCCCCTAGACTAAATTTGATAAAATACTAGATCACTCAGGATAGAAAATTTGTAATTTCTCAGAAGAACACTGATTATTGTTTATTGGGCGAAATTGTGGAGGGGAAAAGCATGCTTAATCTCTAGTGACAGAAGTTGAGAAAGAATGGACGCTGTAATGGCTTGCTTTCTTTTTATTTCATACTCTGTTTTCAAAAGCAAAACATTAAAAAGATAAAAAACACTCTGCTTACAAAAATAACGGCCATCAGCAAAATTCAACTTGCACTTGACACCATGACTTAGTGGCTGAAGTTTGTTGCAATAACACAGAAAAACTTAAGTTTTGTTCTAACCCAGCTTCCAGGGATTTTTTTATTTGGCACATCTAATCTTCAGGCAATGGTAAGGCAATTTGTGAAATTCAACATTTCTTCGTAGGAATATTTACTTTTTTTATTTAAAATGGGCCAAACTGATCACGAAAAATCTATCAATCCTATAATTCTGACAGCCAAGATATAAAGATTAACTTCTAATTTAGAAAGCGGTCCAGAAACCTGTTGAACCAAAAAACATTGTACCCTTACCCTTTGTGGTTTGGATCAAGGCTCCTGGTGCGATTGTAGATGTACATTTGGTGCAATGCTGAAGTGGGACGCAATTGTGTAAAAGAAATGGGTGTGCAAAATGCAGGTTGTAACACAGAGAGAGCCAAATTCGACGAAAAGAACCAATATGGTTATTAAATTAATCGAGAAAATGCGCTTATTTCAGTTAAGAGCATTAACACGAACTTTACAAATTCATATAGCAAAATAAAAGCGTAAAGAAACAAAACATTAAATAACGGCTAATCCGTCAACTTCAGACTTTATGCATGCTTTGGCTAAAGCAGCTTCTGGTCACACTTTAGGCTAAAAATTCTGATGATTTTACTCATGAGTGAAAAAAATTCGTTTTACAGTATTAATTATAAACACATTTCCCCCGTCGATTCGTAACCGGTGATACTGAAAAAAACAGTTTGCTTTAGAAGTCACGGGGTCCCACTTCTTTTAAACCCTTGCTTGCTGCATATTTATGTGTTCAAAATTAGGGACAGCGTAACCCGGTCTGTGTACAAAGAGGAGGAACGATCCAGCTTGCCTCGTTTACGTGAACACAGTATCGAAATCTCGTGTTGAACTGCTTTTCTGTTAACTTACGATTTAATGTAGGCTCAATACGAACTGATTCGTCTGTCTGATGCTAAAATGTCCACTATCGACGACAATTTACAATTAATTTCAATTTTAGCCATTCACAAAAACAAGCTGACAGCTGGAGGTGTTTTAAAAATTATACTTGAATGAGGTTAAAATATATGTTGTTGCATTTGCGATAACTACAATATGAATGCACGCCATTCGCAGGCCGCTTCTCTAAAAATACGTTGGAAACTCGCAACTATCAGATCTGAGACCAGATCGAAGACGATTTGAGTTACAAGCTTTGGCAGTAAACGACTTCACAGTAAACACCCGACAAGGCCTAAACCACTACAGTCTGTTCACTCATTTACAAGCAAAGTGGATAAAGAACCAAAACTAAATATAGTCATGTCGTGGAAATTTCGACACTGCCATTCATTTCCTTTAGTAACAACGCCCGTAAGGTGTTTTTAGCTCCAGGGGCAATATAGATCTAGAAGATATCTTTTATTATTTATTGTGAGATTAAGATATCAATGGGCAACACCACTGTTGACCTTCGCAAAGAGTTCATTTCAGATTAGAAAGATAGGTAACTATTCACTGGACTGAATCAGTTTCCTGCGATTCTGATTGACTTCAAAAAAGATATATTTCACTTTATAAAACTTTATCATTGTAAGGCTAAATGGTTTACATTTCCCTGAAGTTTTCAACCAATGGCCTTTCGTTTTAAAACTATTACCTTGTAATAATTCCTTCGTGAAAGGCCTTTCCCTCATTTTCCATGAAAGCCTCGGAACCCCCTACACCGATGTCCCCTACCCCTTTATATTTAGCAGCAATTTTCAATTCAGCAATTTTATTAAAGAACGATTCAGCAAGAATTAGCACGATCCTACAAAACTAGCTGGGAATAAGCCAACTTTTCCTGTTCGTTGAGACTTCCCGTGATACCACCCATCTTCTCGTTTCTTGATAACATAAACAATGTCACCAGCTTTCAGTTCTAGCTCGTAATCGCTCTGTGGAGGAAACCCAAAGATTGCACGGTATCTGAAAAGGAGAGAAAGCAGATTTTGACTCAATTCTTCAAAATTTCAATTTCAGTCGAAAAGTCAGTATTTTTTGACAAGTTATTCGAACAGCCAGGACTGCTACAAACACTTAGACAATCGTCAGAAGAATCCTTCCCAAGAAGATCCTTAGGGCTACTTATTGAAAGTTGGAATTTTGAATGCAAAAACGATTATGGGAAAAAATTACTTTGCAGACACTTCGGACCACACTTGATAAGACAAATCAGATTTCCCAAACCAGATAGTGATGGGAAACGAAGCAAAACAAAATTGATAACACAGATCTCCAATGTTACTTACCGATCGTAATTCTGCAATATAGTTGGAGGGACATCAGCGATTGGCTAATAAAGATGAGAATCAAAGTTGAGTATTTTCTGGCGTAAAAGTTGTTTCGTTAAGAATTTTCAGACGCTGAAATTCTACTGAAATTCTGGAGATATAGTATTTACAGGCAAGAACAACATAATCCATTTGTACGGATGAAAAACTTTTTTGGCAAGAAAAATATCTAGACAGCATACTCTCTGAGCATTGTGATGCTTTGAAGTATAAACATTGGGGGTGTCCCTTTGAAGTATTGGTTAATGATAACGTTTGCTGAAAAGTCGTTTTAGAAATATCTGCATTCTACAACCTGAGTAAAGTGCTGTCAAATGAAATGGCAATTTGAAAAAATCAACAAGAAAAGACGATATGACTTAGGTATCAAAGCATATTTCATACCGATCTTGGTGGCGGCAGGTATGTTGTTGCAGGTGGCGAATATGGTGGCGGCGAATATGGTGGTGGCGGTTCTGACGGCAGAATAGGAATCGGTCTTTGCGGACGAAATTCGGTGCTAAAGGGATACAAATAATAAAGTCGAAAATGTTTTGATTTCGTTCACAAATAGCAATTGGAAAATATAAATTAGGGCTTATAAGCAGGGGTACCAGAATTGAGGCATACAAACTTGGGTATATAAACTGGTGTCAACAAACTGGGACATATAAACAAAGATAAACCAACAGGGGGTACAATGCCTGCCGAAAGTCTTGGAACACTGACGTCATTTTCGAAGGCAAAATCATTCATCCTTCTCTCCCCCACGGAACAATGTTGGTTTACTATGAAACGGGTTAGAATATTAGGAGGCACTTTTTTTGTACTTCTTTTATGATATTTCTCTAAATCATCAACATTGTTCTAGGGGGAAGGGGGCGGAAGTAGTAATTTGTTTTCGGAAAAGGAATGAAAGATATGAAATGCAACGCAAATTGCTGGGTGTTCCAAGTACTTTTGGCAGGCATTGTATATAAACAGGGGGTATACAAGCCGGGGTTTACAAAATCAATTGGTGACAAGCCGTTTTCCCACATGGACACCGTCTGTTCCTCTTTGATTTATTAGTCGCAAATTTCATTCTTTTTAGACTCGGTAGTTTCGTCATGTTTGACAAATTAAGGAGGAAGTCGTCATGTACCTCTGATACCTAGTGGAGTTTACTACTCCCTCACTTTGACCGTAAACGTTACCAATAGCACACCTTGACTGTCAAAGACTTTTGCAATTAATAAAATTTAAATCTGTTGGTAATACAAGAGGTTCGAAAGTCCAGCTTCGGGTATTGACAAGTAACAATACAGTATATTTTCAAAATTAGTTTGGCTAAATCAAAGGGTAACAATTAATTATTCTAAATATTCAAGAACGTGTCTGTGTTCAAGAATGAGTAACAACACTTTTTCAAATAGAATCAGTAACAATAACTGAGAACAAGACAGAAAAATGAATACCTTGGTTCTGAATAATAAGGCAAAGGAATTGGTGCCGGTACGGCTTGTTTCTTCTTAAGCTTGCGAATAAAACTCCTTACCTAAAAAGTATCATTAAAACACACATTGGATTATCACTTCAAAGAGGGGAAGGGGTTCTTTGGAGCCTGCGCTCCATATAAACAAGCAAAATTCAAAGGCCAATATTGCAAGGTACCCGTCATAACAACACCGTGTAAACAATGTGTTAGACCTTGTGTCAGTCTTTCCAGATTGTTCCTTGGCTTAAAATTTCCATATTTTGCTTATTTTCCCTTTTTTGATACAATAACTCCACATGAAATTGGATTGTCAGTTTCTATGAATCTTTGTATCAAATCATTTTATATCTTTCGTCAATGTTACAATCGTACCCAAAGGAACAGTTGTATAACCCTTTCTCTGGATATAAATACTCACAAATGCCCATCACAATCAATATAATTCTAATGCTAATTGATAATTGGACAACTGACTTCGATGAAATGTGATTATTATCTACTCATGACCATCGAAGAATCTTAAAAGAACCAGGACACCGACAAAAGTATAACAGTAAATTTAAAAACAAATCAGCCTTAACTAATGTGGGATATTTTGGACACTCAAACTGAAACTGAATGTAGATCATAAGCCATAATTAAGACAAGATTGTGGTGAGAACAGAAGCATGAATTTCGAATAAAAAATCTGCTCAATTGAAGATGATGTGAAAACCAGAGATGATGGGTGGTATAGCTACTTTAAAGATGGGCAAAGATTCAACTGTTATTAGGAACACTTAGATCAAAAGCCACAACATATCCTTTTTGATATAAATCTGCGTCAAATGAAACTAGAGGCCCTTGGTCCCCAATGGCACTATCCTATCCTTGTCCCTAACTTTAAGCACAAAATGGAACTTCAAAGTCTTCATTCTCGCTATGTTATAACCTTTGGTATTTAGGACATAATTGTATTGAATAACCAGAAACGAAAATGAGTTTATTATGCCTAGTTGTTTAGTTTTAAAAATCAACCCCACTTTAACATTCTTGCCAAGCATAATCTTGACCCCGAAAGTGGACTTAAGTGATCATTGGCGTAAGGCCTATGTTGCCAACTTTGCTGGGGTCGCATTTTTTATTCCAGTGTCGTAGCTCGTTCTATGAAAACTCAGTGCAAGATATGCACTGGTGGAACCCAAAAAGAAACTAGGAACACGTGAGTCAAAAAGTGAGTTCCAACCGGAACATGAGATCTTGGGGGCCCAAGCAGGATATCGGGGTCCTTGAGCCCATATGGAAATTGAAATCAGAATCAATTGGATTTAGAGGGACCCTGGCCTACTGTGAGCATGCCATTTTGTAGTGGAACACACAGTGAAGTAAAAAAATGAAACTGATGATACCCTTGATCTTTCCGTGGTTCTTGCAGCCAGTGATGGATCAGTTGGTTCAGATCCGCTTCTGGTCCTACCACCGGGTGCCTGTGTTCTCTGAGCCCAGTTGGTCTGGGACGAACCATTTCTTGGCAGCACCAAGAGATCTGATGGAGCAGATGTAGAGTGACTGTGCTGTGGGACGTTTAATCGGTTCGGTAAATAATTCGCGGGTGATGGTGTTGCAGGATTATAACTAAGACATCTGGACAAGTGAATACGGTGGTTGCTGTGAACAGATAAATAACATGACATTAAGAAGTTTCTAAAATGAAGAAGCCTAGACTAGAAATTAGAAGCAGTATCTCCTCGTTGTTTGCGATGCTCCTTTTCGTGCCCATACGAATTACGCATTTTAAGGACATGGTGTTAAAAAGAGCAAGATTTCGCGGCCGTACGAAACATGCATTTTGTGGCCGTACAAAACATGAATCTCATGGCCAAATTACATGACCTTGAGCTAGATTACTTAGGGAGACAAACAAGCGAAACTCTTCAAATGTGAGAGGCAACCTTCAGTCCTGTCGTTAAGGTGCATGCGCAATAATGATTTCGTTCCAGGCGCATGTCTTTTGACTTTTAGGACGGAGGGTTGCTTTGTAGTCCAGAAGATTTTCTCCTGTTCGTCTCCTCAACAATCATGTAGGCACAAGTATGATGTGAAATTCTGCACACAAATGGGCGTTGAAGAGAATTTAGAGGAGCAACTCAGTGAAAGAGAAGAACTAGGAAAAACTAATCTTTGCACTATGCGAAGCATACAGTCAGTCGATTAAAGACTTTCTTCGATTAAAGTCAATCGCGATTAAATATGCCGCCACGGACAACTCCCATTTGTCGGATAACAAGGCTCCCTTCGGGGCACTCGAAACACTGGCAATTATGAGAAGCCTTGGGCCCCTGTATGACATAACTGGAGAGGAATGTTCATATTTGCGCTCGGTGTAGAGTTATGTACGGACGATGGATCATACGCGCTCTAAGCCCAGAATTGTTGGAAGGATTTTTCAACTCAAAGAAGTTTTCTGCTTTCTTACGAAATTACTAACTTTTTAACAACAGGAAATCTGCAGCATATACCTACTAGCGGAAAATTTCTCGATTGACAATTGATATAAATAAAACAATTTCGCTTGTGGCTTGTAATACAAAAATCTGACTACAATGAATTTTCTAATAGCACTAAAATTCAGTTAGGCATATCAACCATTCTTCACCACAACGATAAATAAAAACTATTCTAACATGAAAGAAGTCTAAGGCTATTAAGAAATGATTATGAAAGATATAATAGAGTCAGCCCTATATATAGAACATTAAAAACAAGATATAATCAAGAAAACCAAAAGTAGAAGTAGTGGGTGGTACGCATAAAACACATTTAATATCAATTTCATTTAGCAATTCAACGAGTCTGGTAGTGGGAAAATGCCAATTTCCTGCTTAGGAAATATCAAATATGGCACTAAATAACTCCTATACTTCGAAGGAAACAAAGAAATTTTGCTTCTTGTGTGTGGTCAATAGAAGCGAAACAGAAGGGCTTGCTGCAGAAGCGGTACAAGCATTCAAGAAAAGGAGGGCAAATAGGGATATGCATTACAATGCCACAGGATTTCAAAAAGAAGAGGATTTCTCTTGACACTGACCATTTCGCCTTAAACTTGAATGGACTGAATTCAAACTTTGCTAAAAACAGAGTGGTATTTAAATCAAATAAAACTGACACAGCGTTGTATGCTATTAAGAAACCCTTTACGTTTCCTTCAAAACTATTTTGGTAAATGACATAATTTTCTAATGTAGCTTTGCACACGATTGGGGTAGCTTTTATTCAAGAGACGTTGAATTGCACAAAAAGCTTATTGTAGCGTTGTTTACAAAATCCTTGAGCTGCCATTACGTAATCAGGCAGCGTCGATATAAGTATTTTACAATCAAAGAGCATCGAAACTATATGATCCTCCTGATGATGATGATGACTGATCAATGGGCAGCATTAGCAGCGTATAATTAAGCAAAGCTCAACACAGTCATTTTGAAAAAATTCAATCCGATTTGGGGAGAAATGTCTGAAGTCCAAAGCTCTTCCTTTGCGTTATCCATGAATGGAGAACTGCTTTTGACTACATCAAAATGGAACAAAGTACAAAACATAACACAAAGTACAAACACAACAAAATAGAAACGGAAGGCGTGTTTCTTGAATGCATCTTTCAACATGTAAAAAGAATCAGTAGCACACAGAGGGCACAGGAAAGACGGCAGTGTCCGGTCGACCATTCAATAAAAAATCAGCATTTATATGAAAGAACAGCCATCTCTGTTTTGTCTGTCATTCTCAATGAAAGCTTTTGAATATCTTAGCTCGTGAGATAATGGGCTCGCTAATCCCAATCCGGCGAAAACAAATTGTCATAGATTTGATATCATGTTTATGTGACAATTTTCGTCATAAATAATGCAAACATTTTTAAGGTGGACAACAAGGTTTTGATTGACAACAATCTCGGAAAGCAAACTGTGCCACAATATTTTGAAATCTGTGAGATACCTTCTCAAAAGCATAAAGCAAAAGTTATAGCTATTAAATAGATATGGATAGTTTCTGGTAGAGAAAAGAGTTAAGAAAGAACCCTTGGAGTGTGGGAAGACTGCACATTCTTGAAGCGACAGTCTATACATCCCACATGCTCCTTTCGTTAAATTCGGTATTATTATTTGAAAACCAAAGTTTTACTCTTTCAAAACCGGAGGGCAATTTTGATTACAGTTGTACGGCTTCAGATAATTTCAGTGACTATAGATCCTAATATTTCAAGTCAAATGCACGTGCTGTTTTAAGGGGCTGGGTACCGTTTGGACATAAATAAATTCCTCATACATAAAGCCCATACTTCAAGGAGTTTCGCAAAGACCAATCCTGCACTTCCAAAATTCCACAATACAGCTTGCTTACAGAGGCTGTTTGCTGACGAGACGAACGCTTCTTTTGCGAAATTCTTTTAGAAACAATCAGAACCAAAGAAATATCTTCACCGTGGTCATTTTTCTTGAATCTTAAAGCAAAGATTTCTTACTATACTGAAGGGCCTGATAAATTGCTGGCAGCAAACCTTGCAATTACACTGTTCTTATTCAAGATAAGTTCACTCTTTACCTGATCCGTGAATTATGAAAAACAAAAGTCAGGAAATCTGACAACTTATTTCGCATTGCTAGACAAATTACGAAAAATTGTGATGAAGGAAATGTTTGCGTGACCTTCAAATAAGGTAAGCTTTTCACACGGAGCAAAGAAATCTTCAAGAAAATAAGAAAAGATTCTCTAATCCCTGCGGTTTCCTCCGTGCCTAATTTCATTATTTTTAGATTTGATTGTTATTATCCTCCCAATATTCCTTTCGTGACAAAGAAACGTGCGAAAAGTGTCATTCAGGTAAGACTAAAATTGTTTGATAATGCGGAAATAATTATACCACAGCAAAAACTTCAATTCATACTAACAGAAGAAAGGGGCAAAAGAAAAACTCATTATGACGTATGGCATACTCGGCCATGACAAGATAAGCATGTGGACGAAAATATTTTATAAATAGCTGCAGATCCGTTATTATCATAAACAGCTAAGAACTTTTTCGTCAGATAAAGCCATTGATTGGACGGCATCATATTTGTCAGGAATGGGAATGCGTCTAAATATGCAGATAAAGATATAGCAAAATGATCCTTATAATGACAAATTAAATAAGCGACAAAAGACTACCTTGCAGGCTTCAAGTAATTTCCAGGGAACATTCCAGTCCTCTTTGTGGTCGATCTTACGCGGTAACCTTTGCACCAGCCATCACGGTATTTCTCTTTGACACAGTACACCTCCCCACGAACCAATGAAAGCTCGTCGACCTTCTTTGCTCTGTAATCGTACATACAAATATACCTAAAAACCAAAAGAACAAACCCTCAATAATCGGATGCCAAAGATGTAGATGCCAAAACCAGTTTGAAATCTTGACTGCCGTCTCCATTTAGCTGCAATATAGTGCCAAACACGTTGCTTTAAAGAGGTTTTTCATGGAGCAAATCTCTTTGACATTCAAATATGCTTGTCCTTTACCCCCCTTTTTAAACAAAACAAACTTTCAGACAACACTCCAAAAAACCATTTTCGAATGACTAACGGCGCTGCATTAGCTTCGCATTTTTAAAGGGTCGTCCCCAAATGTTTAAACTCGATTCCTATTTCATTCCATTATCCAGACAACAACCCTCTTGGTCAAGCAAATGACTTCCAGGAAAGGAAATCAATAAGACCCAAAAGAACAATATGGTTACCCATCACCCATTTGAAATTTCGCTTTATTGCAAGCCCATTCCAGTAATGAAAACTTGAAATCAGCCATATTATTTTTCTGCCCCTATTTTTCCCACTCGCCGGATTTTGTGTAAAGAACTGGCATCTCAAAATGTTTCGATAATGGATCTCAAAGTTTCAAATTTTTTCCAAAAAAGGCTACTCTAGTGAAGTGTATTCTTGGATGGTGTATACTTCTCTATAAATGCCTAATTATAAAACAGATACAATCACAAATACTGTACAAAGAATTCAAAGGTGAAACTTTAATAAAACTAAACATTTTCAACAAGGGTTTAAGATCTGTCTACAAACTGTAGTGATTCCGTTTCGTTTCAATATTCGTACTAGACTCAGCAAAACAAACAATGTAACGACAAACAAAATATGATGGATTGATAACCAAACGAACACATTTCAAATAGAGGCATGAATTTTGTTTGACAAAAGACAGTTTCTGGACATGTAAGCAAATAATTGGCTTTCAGGAAGACCTTTTACAACATCGGTGTAAATTGATACTAAAAGACACCACAAACATGGCATTTTGGGCCTCGACAACAGAAAACAAACATTGAAACATCGATGGTGACAAATCTCTATGAAATCCCTTAAAAAGATGACGGGATCTTTTTGGAGACTGAGATTAACGCCATGGGCTTACAAGCCCGTTTTCCCAGGAAGACTGAAACATCTATTTGATAGCTCAATGACCAATTCAGAAATTTAATAAGTATCTTTTAGTGCTAACATTTTGCTTTGCCAAAAGCTGACAGATAACCTTTCATTTCTTACAATTTCAACTAATTTGGATCCTGTGCTTTTATATTACACGCAATGCAATCCTGCCTGATTCAGGGTAGTTCCTCGATATAAAGATACAACAAGATTTCATTTTCATCATGTATATAATTTTTATTTCGGTAATCCATGTATATTTTAGACAGGTCCTTTATTGATAACAGCACGTTGTTGCTGACCAAAGTTAACATGTATAAATATGGTATTATTTTTATTATTATTATTATTATTAACATGAGATGAATACATAATGATGATTGCAATTCCACTTCAACGTGTCTTTGATTTTTCTTAAGGGAAACGAAATATGTCTGTATTCGAAACGGTCCATTGCTTTGTTAAAAAAAAGCGTCTTGTGCCCCTTAAAGTAGATTTCTTGGCAATTAAAAGATATTTCAACATTTTATAATGCGGTTTTATAGGACCTTTACCCAGATGCGGCGAAACGCTTTTTTTGCTGTCGCGCGTCAAAACTCAAGCACTAGCTCCATTCATTAGAAACTGCCTGAAATTTAGCGAAAAATTGTTCCTTCAGATGCTCTCTACCCTTAATAAGACAAACTATATTGAACAAATCAGCCTTGATAGGAAATTCTAACCAGCGAAAGGGGTGTATGTAATCTTTAAAAAGTGGTTTGATGAAGAGATTTGCTTTTTCCGGTACTTTTTTCAATATTAGATGGATTACTTAGCTTGTTTGGGGTGATCCAATGTATTTCAATCGCTATTATACATATGGTTTAAAGAATTGATGAGCATTTTATGCATTGCAAGATTGGGTTAAGGATGCCGATCGATAAATCATGTTTAAATATAAATCAATGCATTGGTCCGTAACTTGCCTTTTAAGATTTTGTTTGAGGTCAAAAAATCCTTGGAAAATCATTTACTTCTATTTGTCTTGAGCAAGCTGCATTCATGAGGCATGGTGTTCCATAGTGAAAAATCTTTTAATTTAATACCACTCCCCCATAGCTGTCAGAGAATTGATCTCCTAGGAACTCCTGGCAAGATTTCTAAATTCTATCAAGTTATGTTAAGTTGTACCAATGATGTAATAAGCAGTACAGATAGAAGCTACAGTTTCAACATAAATTTTGACCTGTACTACTTACAAAGTTCCACCAGCTTCCGGGTGGTTTATTCTCGCAGGGGCTTCCCTATGAGACTCCCTTGCACTGGCGCCATTAACGTTCGAATTTGAAGCCTCCGCAGCTCTGTCAGGGTGACCGTTGGTAACAGACCGCCCAGCGGTAAATCCGTTCAGCGAATCCTGAAAAAAGGAAAACTTTGATTCGAAATTTTCGCTCTCATTCATATGTTTACAAACTTGAGCACTAGAAAGCTGAGTATGACAGGGGTTTTTTTTAACTGCGTTATGTTTATAAGAGCGTGAGGAATATTTCAGCGGGCCTCCAAGAAACTGCAAAAATATGCACCTGAAAAAAGGAGCCCTGTTGTTTCTTATAGAAACTTCGCTTAGATTAAAATATTGCATATATATGTCTATCTGGAAAGCCTTGTTTTTATTAAGGTGGCACCTTCGGACCACTTTCTCGTCCAAGACTGTTTCTAAATGCTGCCCCTATTGATTAATAATTATCAGTTATTGGTATTAAAAGTGAAGTCCTGAAAACATATTATATCAACGATAATCAGTAGCTTAAAAATTGACAAATTATCTACTGACAGAAATCTCTCTGTATTTTCAACCCTGTTATAAGTCGACTCTTCTACAGACTACTACTGCCAGTTTTTGACATCATTCTGTCGTTAATCTAGACCCAAAAGCATAAATAGGCTACCAGAAATCGCCAATGATGCCAGGAATCTGACTGGAGGAGAAAAACATAACTTTCAAATCAACAAACTGTCTTTTCTTTAAATTCAACATTTACTTGTTCAACTGTATGTCTTAAAATGATCGAATTTGATCGCGGCAAGGTCTTTTTCGGCGTCCTTGGTCTCTACCCACAAATTCAGCTTGTACATCTCGACAAATTTAGGACTGTTATCCAGTTGTAAATTTAAAGCCACGGCGAATTTCCCGCCAAAACATGTCTGTTTTATGCCAGGCATGAAAAAACAATGATTTCTCTTTATAAGAGACTTCTAAAATCACCGACTAACAGTTAAGAGGGAATTGTTCGTCGATTTTTTTAAAGAGGCTATTGAGAACCAGCTATACGGGATTAATAAAGAGTATATGAATATCAAGCGGTTTTAAGATGCTCCGAAGTTGATCCATACTTCACACCATACTCTTAAAGAAGACTAAACAGGCCTGGGACAGATGAAGCTTAGGCCTTGTCATTCCGGCCAAGACAAGACTTCCATAGACTGTTCTGGCATCTCTTAGGGATCTATTTGGCTGATCCGTGACTCAAAGAGTTATACAAATGACTTAAAGTTATTATATTGACTGAAGACACTTGCATCAATGGATACCGGCTGATAAAATTTCACAGCATACATGTTTCTGCACAAAGATGCTTTATATTGCGTTTGTGTCCAGAATATATAGCACGTGACCTATGGAAAGACCTCTTTTAACAAAAGTAACTTATTACAGTTTTTCTGATGCCCATCAGAGCCCACTAGATCAATCGATATATTTGAAAAACTAAAAACTTGATTGCCTTGATTTCACGAATCTCTTAACGTTCTAAACGATGAAAGGAAAGAGATCCACGGCAATTGTACTTTAGCAACCAAACAATTGTGAGGGCATCGTTTATATCACAAACTGAAAATGCGATCTCCAAGAGGTCACCAAAAATGGTCGACCTAGGGTAACTGCTTGAGTGACTAAGCAGCTAGACCCAATAATGAGCAAAAAGGTTTTCTGTTCTTGGTGGTTTTGTGATTAGTAGCAGCCTGAAGACATTACAAAAATAAATGAATAATGATGGTTAGCGTAGGCTTTCACAAAAGATTTGATCGGAAGATCAGTACTTTGTGGTGTTTTTGACACAATCAGTTTGGTTAGCTGAAAGCCTTCTAGCGAGGAAAAACCTTTCCCTTCTAGCTACAAATCGTTGGCCTTGGACATAGAGTAATTAAATAGATTTCAGCCAAAATAATCCTGCTGTGTATCTATTGCTAGGATGGTAAAGTCCAAAATTGTCAGTTAGCGATTCGAATGATGAATCGAAATCCTATTAGTCAAAGTCCATGATCTATTTAAAAAGAACCAATTACCAGGGTTTCTGTGTTTATGAAGGCCTTTCAAACGTAAAACTGCTTAAGTTCATTCTAAAAACTGTCTGATTAACGTAAGACGTATATTAAGAGCCCAAAATGCGTGCTGAAGGGCAAAACAGATGTCATGGGTATCCATAGTGAAGTTCGAATCACTTAGTTGAAATAGGACAATTGCTATCAAGCTTTGTCGAATATTAGGCAGCTTTACCTGTTTACAAAAACAGGCACTGCCGGTAGCAATTCCAGGATCATGCTAATGTTACTCAATAGGATAAAAGATATTTACCAGCTCAGTATAGAGAAATCCTTGAAAAATGAACTTATCACTAAGCATAAAATGACTTTCAAGCTGTCTTTCCAATCCTTTAAAAAAGGAGCTGCTATGATACAGGGTTATTGAAATAAAGTTTTTCTGACAATTCCAAGACATAGATCTGGCTCAGTACAAGATAAATGCAAATTATTAAAAGATATAAAAGACAAAAAGAAGAACGGAATTGTCTACCAGACATATGATAAGGGGTAACACATATTCAGCATGTAAACAAAATGTGGTTGTGGTGAGCCTTGGTAAGGCTACACTATAAGCACTCCTGGGGACGTCACCATGTGAAATAAGTGATCAAGATTCGACTGAATGATTTCACCGAGTCGGTTTTACGGGGTCGTGTATTTATCAAACCTCTAGGAACAATCAAGCCCCAAGACTCAGCCCTGTTAATCCATTATTGGTTGGTCACACCCTATAGGTTTCATTTATTGCAATACTGAGGAACAGGTTAAAAAGCTTTTTGTATCGACACTCTATATTCAGTCATGCAAAAAGCGATAACAACTAAATCTAATTATTGCAAGACTGTTAAGTTTACAAATCTTCTTGGTACGGGGTAAGAACCGGTAAAGCATGGTTAAGCTAGTTTCTCTACAAGAGTAAGAATTGAGCATCTCTAGAGCCATCTGTCTGCGTGCACTGTACCAAATGCTTAAGCCATTTGGCTTTGAAACAGAAGAAAATATCAAAAATACTGCAAAAACATTATTTTGGCCCTTTAGACAGTCTATCTGCATCTTGCGAAATAAAAGTAATTCCCCAAGTTCCCCCTACAAAACCCACACGTACCTGCAAAGACGTTTCTGATGCACGACGATCGCGATTTCGAGGAGCCCTTACTGGAAAATCGAGAAGCTGCCGCGTTCGATTCATCATCTGTTCTTCTGGATTGTCCACGTGGATTGAATGCCGTTTTGGGGGCTCCGGCCTTGCCCGCAAATTCTGTTCTTTGCTTGGCGTAGGGCTCTTGTCACGACGCTGCGAAGGACTGTCATCCTCTTCATCCGAACTTTCTGAAGTACTAACAAGTACCTCCGCCGCAGCGTTTAACTACGCAGCAAAAAGGAAATAATAATAATAACAATAATATTATGGAACGTAGTAGCCATTGCAACAGGAGCTCTGTTTATCTTATATTTGAAAACCTTGTATTTGCTAGGCAGCTGTTATTGAGAAGGTCTTCAACAAAATGCTTGTTTATTTGAAACTATATTGATACTGGGGAGGGTTCTTGAATATTGAGGCCTAGTGTTGTGGGACTCTGCCCCGCCCTGAAGTTTATATAAGATGTTCTCTACTAATGAATAACGAGTAACAAAGGGTGCTGAGCTCACACGATATAACAAAACACTACTATGACTGTGAATTAAGTTTGTTCGGACCAATTAAACTGAAATAATAAATCATCCAGTAGTAAACAAATTATATTAGCAGGCATTCGTCTCAAGGAACAATATCCCTCCAGATAAATACTTCGGAGGCACAAAATACTATAAAAACTCTCAATTAATAGGGAATTCGAAAAACATACACACAAATTTTAGCAACCGATTCTTTCTAAACTCATTTTTTAAGTTCTACTTCAAAGTCCCCAGCTCACTCCTTCTAATTTAGTTTGCGATTAGAAACAATGAACTTACCTCCACATAATTGAAGGGGAAAATTCCATGCTGTTCCATAAATACTCCTTCGCACCAATTGCTATCTATTCTTTTGATGACGGAAATTATATCACCCTTCGAAACAAATAACAATTTTTCTGTTATAAAGTGGAAAATAAGAAAATAAATGCAAAACAAGTAAACTTACCAAGAGATAAGTAAAAAAAACAAAGAAGGTAGCCGATCTGGAAATTATCACAAATTCGTTTACATCTTTGGATATTTTTTATCAGAGACCTCGTTCTTCAAAGGTAACGTTTAAACGGGGTTCATCAAAATCAATTCAATGCATCAACTTTAAACAAAAATTGCTTCTTCTCCAATTTCGTATAAATTTTGGAAAATAATTCTCCCAAATCCGGATGCTATTTTCATAAAATCAATATATACCCTAAATTGATAATTTTTGCATTATGCTACAAAAATGGCCATCTCTGACCTTTTTGAATTCGATAAGACTGTTCTCTCTGCCTTCATTGAAATCGTAGAGACCCCTGGCGAGTGGTTCTTGCTTGCTCACATCGTCGAAAGATGGGAATGGCACCAGAACCTACAAAGAGCAAATCGACGGGAAAGGTAAATCGAAAGGGGTTATTATTTATAAAACGGCTAGAGAGCTTGACAAGGGTGCTCCAATATAGCGAGCATAATGACTGGAGGAAAGTTCCATCATATAGCCTCGCTTGACCTAAACTTTTTCTTTACGGATGGGTGAAATACTAAACAAACATGCTAAGCTATTCTGTTATCTTGTTACTTCCAAAAATAAAACGACCCGCCACAAGAGATCAACAATGTTGAATCTTACTTATGAAGAATGAGGTTGAAAAAAAGGGACATGATTACGTCATGAGAGGAAGGAAAACCAGAATAGGATAATCTGGTTCACAAATTGAAAGAGCACATTGGCAGAGATAGACAAAGTGTTGAAGAGAAAGATTGAGTGAAAAAGTTATAAAGAAAAGTAAAATAGAAAATCCCTACGTATCTCAAGGGCATGAAGAATGGGGATTTCAGTATTTTATCTAAAAGTTCTTTTACATGACTTTAGAAAGGAAAATAAAACTCCAAATTCATTTAATGCTGAAATCGAGTGTATTTGCAATAATCGTAAAGCCCTATGTGCAGGATTTAACCAGCTAAAAATTAATTCCAACTGTCAAGCAATTGTAATAAGATATTTCATTTTTTGAGCCACAAGGAACTTGTGCCAGCAGAAATTAAATCAGCAAATAATTTCATACCATACGCTGCGTATAGGATATAACATAAGATAGACAGAAAGAATGGCCTTGACACATCAAATAGCCAATATCTTACTCCTGCATAATTTCAGGACCTCACCTTTACAAAATTGGCTGGCACAACACCACTCTTTCCATCTAATACACCCTCGAACCAATTTTTATCAAGAATGTCACTTAGTAATATCAAATCTCCTTTTGCAAATGATAGGTCCCTAAAACATAAAAGTTGCAAAAAGTGTGTTACTTTGAAGCTATGAAAATATTAATAACAAAATATAGTATACTGTTGCTAAAAATCAAATAGAGTTTACTGTGGAGACAAAATGTTTATTACTACAGAATAGACATATGTCTATTTAATCATAGTGGAAATTAATCGGCACTTAGGTATTACATACAGTAGTAAGTAAAATTAAGAAAAAAGTAAAATTGCCAACTGGTTAAATAAAGCTGAAAAACAACATGTTAGCAGAGTGATCCTATTATCAGGAGCTTATGAGTAGTTTGATGATTGCTTAAATGGTAAGTTTTTGGTTCTTAGAATGGTCCTCAGTCTTTGGATAGCAGTAAATAGGAGAGGCTATAGGAGAAAATTTAGGAAGCAAGGCTGTTGAAGCTTGTACAAGAGGAGAAAGACATCACTTTTCCAGGGATCCTGCTGCAGATATTAAACGGACCTGCATGGTTTAATCAATAAATTTTAAAATATAATGAATGGCCCCTGAATGCAAGTCAACGGTTGTGGATTTGGGGTGCAATTCCACCCTTGTATTCATTCCCATTCCACCACTGGCATATGTTGAACTGGGAATAAAACTCCTCTTACACAGAAATCTACATGATGTTCAGATGATTTTTTCTGAACACTTAGCTTAACAATAAGATGTTTTAGAAAAATGTTTTTGATACCCCTGGAAGACTGCACAACACCCTCTGGTGCAACATAGATAGCTGACATAGAATAGCAGATATGAAGAGTTAACTGGATTGCATCAATAATTTTCTGTAACTAGTTGCATGATTTCATTTAGATTTGTAAATAGGTGCACTCTTTGAAAATTTCATGAACAAAAAGTAAGTTGAGGTATGATTTATGATCATCTACATATAAGCGTCAATAAATATTTACAAAATTAAGTAGAAATCAAGAGAAAACCTCAAAAGAGTTTCCAACCAGTTTTACTGTTATATGACACCTCTATATTATTAAATGCAAACAGGAATATTTATGAGAATAAATCTCAATTTTGAAAGTCTATCTAAACAAAACTGGTTAATCCTTCAAATAACAAAATAACAAACTGTTGAAACAAGGCTATGTTTTTTGTTACCTTGGGATATTTTAACAATAACACATGTTAAATATCTATGAAGAAATCAAATTTTTTTATTTTAAGAATAACAACAAAGGGATTTCTATTTCTTCCAAGCATGCAAATCAATTGAGTGTGACCTATAAGCTTGGCAGATGAGCTTTGAGAAATACAATTCTAAAACCATAAATGAGATAGCTTATGAGCACCTTGAGAAGGTCAAACAAGTCATTCTTATTTTGCAAACCATATTGCTAATCAGAAAATAAACTGACCATAACCATAAGATTTAACTCATTATAAAGTATAAACATCTGCAGGGCAGATTTCAGTAAAAGTAAAACAGATTTGACAAAATCTGGAGGGCAATTGTTATGGTCAGATTTGCTGACCATGATATCAGTTTTGCAATAATAATTGACCCAAAAATTGAGAAAGCAACAAAGAATTTCCAAATTATATAAGTCTTTGTCTATTAGAGAAAATCATGCATCACAACCTGTAAATGAAAATCTCAAATTTTGGGTAAAATTAAATAATAAAAATTAAATAATAATGATATATTTGATGCCCAACAAACACCACATAGAAAAGCTAGAATATAAAGTGATATTTAAAAGTGCAACAATAACCTTAAATAAAAGACAATGACAAAATATTTGACCCTCTGGGGTATCATGGAGGCTCCTCTGGATCATCCCCTTATAAATGTTTACACTTCAATAGATGCCTCACAAATGGTACTATAAATATATTTAAAGAGTTTTTAATTACAGGAGGCTAGGAAGCAGATGCCAAATCTGTTGTTTTCTTAACAAAGTGTTTCTAAGACAAAGTTGCCAAAATGGGGGTATGCTTCTTTTCAAGACTTACAATAAAGTCTGCCCTTCCCAAATGACTTGATCCATGATACCCCAGGGGACAATTGAATAACACTACTCATTGTTCACCCCCATGAGACCATAGGGTTAAGAAGCTGTTTGTGAACAAAGCAGCAAAACTCTTACCCATCCTCAGTCCCTTGGAAGTTATACAATGCCTTTGCACATGGCTGCTTTTGGCTGGATCCAACACCTTGCCACTATAACAACAGCAAAAAAATTAAAAAAAATTGGCTTTGTTAAACAATATTTCATCCTTGATTAATTATATTAGGGCAGAATAAAATAAATCATATCTTCTAACCAGTTTACTTAATATTAACTCAGTTATCAAAATTGTGTGCTTCTCTTTAACCCAACATCCTACTTTCATATAAAATGTTAAGAGTTTATGATCATATATGATACAAAAAGGAGCTGGGGATATTCCTGGCCCCTAACCATAAGGGGGCAGGGGGGCATACTTCCCAACAACATTTTTGCAAACAATTGAGCATTTTGCAAACAAGTGTCTTCATCTTTTAATTTATCTTTAATTTAGGAATTTTCTGTATATCTTGGTTAGAAGAAACAAGGCTGTAAGAAAAAAATAGCTTTTCCTGTCAATGTGAGCTATTGCATATAATGCTAAATCTTCATCTGAAAGTTTTAAACAGGTAATTTAAGCTTTAAATCCCTTTCAATCAAATAAACCAAATTGACAAGTGAAAATTACCCTCCAAAGTAAATGACATTCTTCATTCCTCTAGGCGTTTATGGCAACTGATATAAAGCAGTCCCTAACATCCCACACACTAATGGATTTTGTGGTAGCCACAGGAACACCACCTACCACATATTGCAACTTAGATATTCATAGAGAAAACTTGATGGAATAATCAAATTGCAACACCAATATGAATGATTAGGATATGGATGAACATAAGTTTCTGCCTTTCATCTAGAGCTGCCTGATATTTTACCTCTCTGAGATCAAATTCCACTAAATCAACAAAATTCAAACTTTGTCTGTCTCAACTGTTTGCATTTCTTGATAGTCAATCAGAGAATTTACAAATAAAATTCTCTGAAATTTAGAAAATTTGTTAACTCGTTTTTATAATTCATGATCAAATTACAGTTTAGTTAAGGAGGTCAGTTTGCAGATTAATGAATTTATGTGCCAAAATGGTTTATTGCTTGTGTAAAATCAAACTGTTTTGGTTTTAAAAGTAATTACTGATCACCCAACATTTGTCTTTCCAAAAATATAACACACTAAATATTACAGGATGAAAACTGACCCAACAGTGTTTTAATATTCCCTTTCAAGAGTGGGTTGATATTGGCTAAACTTAACTCATTGTTCTACGCTGTCAGTTTAGGTTTATTTAAAATACCCCTGTAGAGGCCCTTTAGGCATGTTCCTGCAAAATGCAAAAAAGAAAATACTTTTGGAGCGCAAATAGTTCATCTCGTTGGCAACAATTTTGTTGACACATTTTAAAGTAACTTGATAACCTAAAGATGTACATAACATGTGTTTTATAATTGTAAAAAGAAGAGTGTAATATCTGACCTGAAAACAAACATTTTGGGAATTTCATCTAAAATAATGTATTTCTTAAAGAAATCAGAAAATGACATCCAGATTGGACAGGTTCAGTTCATGCTTTTCTAACAAAAAAGTTTAAGAATCCTTTCAGTCAGATAGTAGCAATTCCGATTGGGTTTGTTTTCCATTAAGAAGATATAGACCCTAGCCACTTACGGCAAAACTGACGAAAAGTTCGGCATCAGCTTTACACAGGCAAAGGCGTGCCTCTGATCTCTTGTAATTGTGCTTTTATTTCGTAAATATTATCCGAACGAACTATAAAGGACTTATTCTAAAGAGGTGTTGTTGTTTTCTATGTACACGGGCAATTCAAATAAAACATTAACTGTGACTAAGGTCAATATGGCACAACGAAAAGGATGACCCGAGGAAAATTCTCTAAACAAAAGCAAAAAAAGATAGCTCCGCATTTTTCTAAGACACATATAATTCTATGACGAAACTATTTTCGCAACTTTCTCAGCAAAGCTTTCAATTTTTGTTTTGATCAACGACCCCTTGTTCTATAGAATAATCGGCCTGAAGAAATAAAGATTTTCAGCTAAGAAAGATATTGTTTTGACTGTGGAACCAATATTACGTAGGGCCGAAATGAGAGTCATGCGAATTCGATTGTCAGACACTTTTGGTATTTTGCCCTCAAAGGGAAAGGGCAAGGACAGAGTCTGCTTTCAAGAGCCGTGTATAACAAAAACAGCTGCGAGTAATATTTAAGAGTGAGTAAAACACGATGAATTCCTAATTAACTTCCCCACCAGTTCATCTGAGTTCATACGGTAGCTGTTGTAATCTAAATCGCTTTCAAGGGCATCCAACAACGAGAAAATCATGTTATTATACAAAACAAAAAACGGATAAATAATAAAATACCTTCCACAATGTAGGAACTGGTTTGTTATTCTCTGCTTTTTTTGAAATCTCATTCATCATTCGCTCTAGGAAAACATTAGGAGAGAGACAATCAACTGTTAGTCCACGGTAATCAGTTCGGCACTCCGGGCATTGTAAATAACCTTTACTATCGAACCAATTTTCGAGGCATTCTTTACAGATGGTGTGCTGGCACGGCAATACTTTGCTGCGATCGCGCAACTGTTCACAGCATACCGGGCACTCAAAAAACTCCCTGATCCGCGAGAGATCCATTTCATCAGAGGAAGCCTGACTGACCATTTGCTTAACTTCTTTTCTAACGACGATCGGAAGGTGTGTGGCCACTTTAGTACACTTCTTTAAAAATGCACGAGCAGCTTCTCGCTACAGGTTGAGTAAAATTTGATATCCGGGCTTTCAGTCCATCAACACTCCGTTTTTTCACACATCATTAACCGTCCTGTGTCGTCTGTTTACAGCTTACAGATACGGCTCTTTAGGCCCAACAGCCCTGAATGCTTACAAGGAGCTGACTGAAGAGAATGAAGGCTTGCTTCGTTCCCAGTCTCCTCCGGAAATGAGCAACTTCCTCGAAATTTTTGTATTAAAAATTTCCAAATCCGTAAAACAAACCCAGAGGCAAAACAACCTTTACGGATAAGGCCAAGACTTTCGCTTCTCTTTCTAAACAGTTTTGTCAAAGCTTTTACATCTTTTAAATGCTGATACTATTTCAATTGATGCCAGCGTTTTGAATTTTTTCAAGGCAAGTGCTTTTAGGAAAACGTTTGGAGACTTCATGAACAACAGGATCCTCTTCCTACTCCTGAAATAAGAGGAAATTCAACAAAATTGTGCAGCAAGGATTTGCAAGTAATGAATACAGCGAAAGAACAAATGAGTTTTATCGACTGCATCTAATATTTGCTCTAAAAAGGGAACAGGATGCTCACCAACTGCATTTTTTACCTTCTCGCAGACACCGCGCACCGATATAAAGATTAAGGGCTGAAAAGGGCGTGAACGGAAATTTTTGAGGCCACGACCTTAAGAACGCCGGAAAACATACCTTTTAGAAACCACTTGCTTTTTTCCATTTATCATTTTTAAACAGTTCGACTCAGAGAAGATATCAAATATTAAAAATATATATAATTAGACATTAGTATAATTAAACACCAAGCTAACCAAGTTAGAAATTCAAGACAAAACACCGAGAAAATGAACAAAAAGGATCCTCAGTCAAGAAGAACTGCTACTAACTAGGATGTGTTAGAGTTAATCTTCCAAATTTGCGCTAGAGTGAGTTTTGTAAATTGTTTAACCTATTATTGCAAAAAAGTTAGGGGGGGGGCTATAGCCCCTGCTAGCCCAAATGGCTGCACGGTGCTTGCCTTCTCGTCCCTCGAAAAATGCATCACTATACTTCCAGATACTTAACTTTTATAAATGAAACTTTTAGATTGAAAAAATGATCTAATTCTTGAAAAAAAACCGTAGGAGGAGAAGGCGGATGATTTGCCAGCAGGGCCCTATTCAATATTTGAGACATTTAATTTCATGAACTTCTTTGCGGTGGATGGTTTTACTTTAAAAACATTTAGACAGGGAATTTTGTAGAAAAAACTAGCAAACTGCCTAACCTCAAATTTTATTTCACATTCTTACTAAATCGACCATGGAGATTCCAAATCCAAGATGGGCCAAAAAATATTATCACCGGAAGTTACTGTTTTTGATGACGTCATCAAAAAAATGATAAAAAATCTTTAAAAATCGGCCAAGGACTCGAACTCAACTTTTTTTGCATTTTTGCACTAAATTAACTATGAAGATTTCAAATCTGAGATGAAATGAAAAATATCTTGAACGGAAGTCAAATTTTGTGATGACGTCATCAACTTGGAGAAAATTCACTTTTAACCTTTTTAATTGTTTTCTCGCAACTATCATTGTCAAATATGTTCCATATTCGAATTGCACGCATTCAGTGCTTTTAAAAGATGTATTGAATTTTTATTATACTTACTTTTAAACGTTCTTTCATGACGTCATCATCATTTTATGACGTCATCGCCTTTTAAAGGTAATTGAATAACGCGTGAAAGGATGCCTAAAAATCTTTAGCTAGTTAAAAAAGTCATTCAAAATTAAAATTTCGTTGTATAGAAAATGATATGGATCCATTCATCCTTCATCACTGTCTCCTTTGCTGGAACTCCAGAAGAAAATGTAGTTCCACATCATCATCATCATCAAAGCAGTTAATTTTGAAAGCACTCGTATTTACCAATAGATAACAAACCTTAAAGATAATCAAAGATTCCACGACATACTTGCTTAATTGCAGCTATGAAGAGGCTGACATCCACTTGAAATTCCATTCTTTCCTCATCGATAAAATTTATTAGTTGTCGAAAGGACACTAATGTTGTTTTCTGCTTATTGTGTGAAAAGCCTTCAAGGAAATATTCCCTAAAGATTGACAACGAGAAGTACGTTAATTTTGGAACGTCGTCTCTTACCTGGGTTTAGATAGTTCCAAAAATCTACCGGCTGTTCATGCAGTTATTGGCTGCGAAACAACAAAAGCTAACATTTTAAACAGCTTTAGGAGTGTTCTGGAAAGGGAAAATTGCTCGAGAGAGTTAGGATGAGACAGGAAATCTGCAAAGACATTCTCACGAAAGCGATAAAATTTGTGCAAAAATAATCATACAAAGGGAAATGTGATGAAACACTTGTGCAGATAAAAGTAAAAGTAAGAAGCTCTACAACCAGATCCATACTGGTCGACACAAGCATTTACTATTGGTTACATTATCAAAAGAAGATTGTAAGAAAAATTGCCTTTAAGCTTTGGTTAGACATACGATGGAAAGAATGATCTGGCCTACAGGTGGTTTTAGTGTGGTTTATAGGAAAAAAATTTCTTTACATATTCTAATTTTGAACATACATTTGATAAATAAATAAGAAATGGCACGAAGAGGATATACAGAGAAAAACGTTTTTTAACGGCTTGATGACAAAAATATCCGATCTTCAACGTTAAAAAAGCTGTGAATATCTGCAGAAAATACTGGAATCAGCAAAATAATTCCAAATTTTTTTTCACACAAATTATGTTCATCTTGTGCAGGGCCCCGAATACCTTCCGCTAAAAAACTGCAAAATCTGCAGCGCTCTAGTGATGAAATCGAAGAAAATTCCGTAACCAATGAGGACTAGGCCATTGGAAAAATTATGGTGAGGTGATCAGCTTAAAGCAGACGATGATGAGTGGAACTACATTTTCTTCTGGAGTTCCAGCAAAGGAGACAGTGATGAAGGATGAATGGATCCATATCATTTTCTATACAACGAAATTATAATTTTGAATGACTTTTTTAACTAGCTAAAGATTTTTAGGCATCCTTTCACGCGTTATTCAATTACCTTTAAAAGGCGATGACGTCATAAAATGATGATGACGTCATGAAAGAACGTTTAAAAGTAAGTATAATAGAAATTCAATACATCTTTTAAAAGCACTGAATGCGTGCAATTCGAATATGGAACATATTTGACAATGATAGTTGCGAGAAAACAATTAAAAAGGTTAAAAGTGAATTTTCTCCAAGTTGATGACGTCATCACAAAATTTGACTTCCGTTCAAGATATTTTTCATTTCATCTCAGATTTGAAATCTTCATAGTTAATTTAGTGCAAAAATGCAAAAAAAGTTGAGTTCGAGTCCTTGGCCGATTTTTAAAGATTTTTTATCATTTTTTTGATGACGTCATCAAAAACAGTAACTTCCGATGATAATTTTTTTTGGCCCATCTTGGATTTGGAATCTCCATGGTCGATTTAGTAAGAATGTGAAATAAAATTTGAGGTTAGGCAGTTTGCTAGTTTTTTCTACAAAATTCCCTGTCAAATTCTCTTTGTAAAACTAAGCCGAATAATCAATGTTTGTAAGTTTCTACGACATGTTCCCCATTAGAATGGTAGGAAAATTTTTGTCACATGACCACTTTCTTGCTTGATTTTTTTGAATTTGTGAATGTTCCAGAGGTGTCAAACTGTTTTCTAAATACTCTCAGCTAATGGAGAAATTTTGTGGGAAGTGGCTGTATGACCCTTCTATTTCTTTGATTTCTCAATACCACTTCATGAATAATCGCTGATCTGATTACAATTAACGATAAACGTTAACGAATGTAAACTTGTGAAGACATTTTGCTTGTTTAGCACCAGCTTTGTCTCTTGGGCTTCTGTTTCCAATCACCGAGGGTGTTCTTATTGCTAAAGGGCTTTTGAATGTTTGCATTTCCCCTGCTAGGACTGTAAGCAAATGCTATCCGTCAGGTTTCCTGACACATAACACTTTATGCTTTTCATTAGATTAAACAATCTTAACGTTCAGTGTTGACGTTATATGAATCGAAATTTCTTTATTATAGCTGTTGACGATAGTTTGTGTTATAATACTAATTACTTTTTTCTTCTACGTCTCTATTTATGGATCTCAAATTCAAGGGACAGAAACGCCTTGATTAAGCGCCACCCTCAAATGAGTGCCCCCTCGAAAAAGCGCCTTCAACCTTCAGAAAGGGCGCTTATTCGAATTCTAATTATCGTTATCAAGAAAGAAAGAAAAAAGTGATTTAATTAAAAAAACATTCACTTTTCTTGAATTACTTTCAAATCTATTTTTAAATAAGCGCCCCCTTCGATTAAGCACCTCTCTCGATTAAGCGCCCACCCTTGAGCCTCAAAAATAAAATAAGTACCCGGGCGCTTATTCGAGGCATTACGGTATTTGAAGCACAAAATGCATCCTGTTATTAATCTGAGACAGCTATTTCTCGCAAAAACAGCTTCTTTTTCAAAGACATATAACTCTGTGTCCAAACGGCGGTGCAACGAGGGATGATACACATACACCCCAACCAAAAAAACTCATGAATTGACTTTCTACCCAGCACGAAGTTATTGCTGTTGCTTAAGTTGTGAACGGTTTTACTCGGGTTTATTGGTGCAGTTACTACACAAAGAGTTGCTCCTCAACTTCACCAGGGCCTACGCCAGCAGGGGCGGGGGGGGGGCGGTGTAGCCCTGCCCCCACTTTTTGCGAAGCAAGTAGTTTTAACCTTGACCTCCTACTTTTTCTGGCCTTGGGCCTCCACGTGGGCCATGTTTACTGAATGTGCAGTGTATTACTGCACTGTGTATTTGCACGAATATTCATGTCAGACGTGCGGATTACCCCGTATTCATTAGTGATAGACAGGGACACCATCTGGAGGAGATTTTTTTAGGGGGGGTGAAAGGTACAAACTTTCTGACGGCAGTAAACCGGTTGAAATATTGTACCAAAATTGTACCAAACTTTCAATTACAGAACCTTAACGATCCGCTACATTACAGATCCGCTACTCCGCTTGGTTTTTTCTTAATACAGTGGAAATAACAGAAGGGTACACCTAAGATGACACTCTATAAAACGATGTCAGCAATTACCGGTTTGGAAGTTGAATGCCTAAAAATCTTTACCCGTTGAACTATAGAGGAACAGTTGTTTGGAAGAACAGTA